TGCTAATTGGGGTCATGTCTCCATGTTCCATCCTCCCATTTTTTTCGCTGTAGAATGCGTAAATAAACCCAGAAAAATAAATGGCTTTTCAATAAAACCAAAATTCTAACTCGAGAGCGATGAAACAGGGGCAAAGTATGAATGAAAGAAACTTCCTCGGACACATACGAGATATATACGAGCCGCAATGACTAGCATTTTCGGTATCTATATAAGATGTATATAACACCAAATTCCCCAGTTCATAAAACGAGAGCCGCTTTTTAAAAACACGTCGGTTGGCAATGGAAAATTACAATACAGATTAAAAAATCCCAGAATAAAAATAAATTAAAATAAATAATGGATTAAGTTTCAACCTGTTATACGGTCGTATTCGATTCAACCATCAAAAAATTAAACTGCTTTTGTATCGGTACGGATATCCGTGATGCACCTATACATAAAAAAAATGGTAATTGCAGTCGATTTTTCAAAATAAAAACTATTTCAAAGATTTAAGTTAACAATGGTTATGGGTTATGAATTCAACGACACCGCTGTGATGAAAGGAGATATCAAGATACAATAGCTGGTTGGCAGATCGTCCGCTCATAAAATTACATTGTATATGACAGAAGCAGGAACTAAGTCTTTTCAAATGATATATTTCTATGACGAGGTTTACCAGCTGTTGTTGTTAAGATAAACTTACGTTTTACTGGGAACAAATAGTGGGTAAGGGGTTAATTTTTCTGCGGTTAATCCATACAGAGCTCAATTGTTATCAGCTGAAGCAAACCTATCAGACACAATAACCGCTCTGTTTGATAGCAATGACAAAAATGCTTGATATACTTCTCTTATGTAGTTTTCTGGGAATAACGGAAGCATCTGTAATCTCTTTGTTATTCATAGGAATAGAGTTTGAACATATTGTAAATTTCTTATAACGATTCGGTGAAGTTATAATCATTAGATATGTATAGTGAATAAAGAAGGGCATATCGATTTTTGTACCTTCATGCGAAGATATATTAACGACAAATATAACCGAGTCATGTGACATATATATACACAGAGTTTATTACGACAATCAGATAAGAAACAAAATCTGATACTCTGATAATCTAAATAGGCCATGGAAATGACAAAAACGTACTTTGATACAAATAAAGATTACATTTTTCATACATTTCTAATTTAATTTTATTTAATTTTATAGCCATGCTATTTTGATTCGAAAAAATATTCGAGAGAGGAAAATTCTAGATTTGTATTTATTTGGAAATAAAATATTTTTACAACAAATTTAAAAGGCATACAGGAGGTACAATATTTGCGACTTTTACGAGCAAGACTTGAGAATATGATGACACTTTAATTGCATTTAAATTATTATTTGCGAATTAACGACGACATACAGGTATCTCGCCAAAGTGTGTTTTTGCTGGAAATAATTTAACACAATTTATAGTTTCAAAATGGATATACCAATTAATGGTAAGGGAATATTAGATGGATCGCTAAGACGACAATCGTAAGATTAACATTCACAAAACTAAATGAATCAATGGTAAACGATTGTGGGAAACATCACATGATTGCGACATCTCAACAGACAAAACCGCTACATCTTAAATTTATAAAAAAAATATTTGTAAAAAGTGAGGTTTGTTATGATTCGCATGCATACAACTTCAATGTTTGGAAATATTATAAAAAATTACAATATATTCAGTGGTAATAAACATATTATTTTGACAACGCATTTTCAATATACTTTTGTGTTTATTTACAGCCTTGTTGTTATTTCGTTAATATTTTAGAAGTTATCTTAATTGAGTGATTTTCGTGCTGAAAACTTTCCTCTATGTTTCTTTGGCAAGTATTGTGAACGCGCCAATTCATCATTCGGTTTCGCTCTAAAAATGAAGTGCGCCAAGATACGTAAGCTTACAATATATTATTCTGATTCCTTTCCACATACTAATTATAGTATTTTGTTGTATCATACATTCCTGGTTCCTTCCGCCCACTTTGCCGCCCCCTTTTTCTGTTTTCCTTTGTTCTGCGATTCAAATACCTTCATACCTTTTAGTGTTTTACATATCAAAACGTATCGGTTAACAAATTTACATGTCCTAGCAATTGTTTTGTTTTGTTTTCCTTTTTATACAATGTATAATTGATTTTACTTTGTCTTGTTGAAAATTGAATAAAGCAAAGGTTAAACTTAGGTCTAGAAATGGAAGTTTCATTAACAAATCTAACAAACTACAATATTACTTACCTCACAACTTACTGTATCCTAAAGTGATGAATAAGACCACTGTAAAGAAACCGTCCTGGATAAACATGTCTTGCTGACAGAATATTTATGTCTGTCAAAAATATACTTCTTTTGGTGAAATCATCCTAGTATCCTCACTGAGTGAAACAGAAATGATATCGAACATGCTGAAAGTGTCTGCATGTCTGCTCTGAACATTATGGACTCATGTATTAAGGAGCTTTGTAACGAACAAAACATGTATAAGTTCATGGATTTGATGCGACATATATACATGTTGATTAATAGGGGTCGCAGATGGTTTGTTTATACGTTTGTTCAATAGCAAACACAGAAAAAGTTAAGGGAATGTAGCGAATTTTTATTGTTATTTTATACTAATAAACAATGGACAAAAGAGGGAGTTGGAAAAGGACTAGAGTACCATTATGTCATAAACACCAAACCACTTGTACTATTTCAATATATAAGACATTTGATAACTTTTTCCTTATTACATTATTTTAATATAATTATGGTATAGATTTGTTTACAAGGCGGTAAATATTTTAATTCACATCAGCTCCATGATAATTTACCTCTTAGTTCTATCATTAAGATTATTCAGAACATTTCATTGACTATTATGAAAAATTTTAAAAGCTGCATATAAATATAAAACCGGATAAACATTTCATAAGAGATATACCCATGACTAATTACACATCAGGTAGGGTAAGCTTCCGGTAAGGTGACATTCAGGAAGGAATAAATTCACATAAGTAAACATTCATGTTAAGATTATTTTAAGGTATGTTGATTTTGTTGTAAGATAATAATTAGGTAAGCCAACCTTTTGGTAAGGTAAACTTTATATCAGATAGCCTTCAATCACAGGAATATCCAGGCTAGGCAACTGTCATAGAATATCCTGGTCAAGTAACCTTCATATTTAGTAACCTTCATGTTAAGGTACATTCGGGTGCACTAATTTGATCCCTTCTATACCGATGCAAAATGGAAAGTATCCATGGGAGGGCGTATACTTTGTTAGAATATCTTACCAATACACCCAATCGAATGTACTATATGTATTGTTAATCTTATACTATTTAATATAAACAGTAAGAATTTATTAAATTATCATGTAAGTGACCTGATCTTCTATGTTTTGAAAATTATACAAAGGACACAAACGTGAATATCACCTTTAAATTTAAAGGTAGACAGAGTAGATCAAAATGAATTAAATTGCAATGAAATATACAGCTGTTTCGTCCTTCTTGATCTCGTCAGTGATGGTAGGGGCAAACATTTCGAAGTCTGAGAGACGACTAACGAAAATCCAAAGTGATAGAAAGAAAATAACAATCTAGACGGGGAAGTGCATCAGTCCCAGAATGACTTTCACATTTTCATGCATCAGATAATTTCAGAATAGTGTCAAGTACATGTGTATATTCTGAACTGTCAGGATGGGGAGGTGCATCAGCCCATAATTAAATACATTTCGCAATTTTTCATTCATCAGATAATTCAGAACAGCGTCAATTGTAATTTCCTCAACAGTTTTTCTTCTCCTTTAATCCTTTTGGTCCACAACATCACTGAGGAGTAATACGTACATGCTGTTTATTTATTATTGGGCCTTACTGTGTCCTATATTTACACTAGAGAGTGTAATTCACCCGTATGTCTTTTATCAACCCGATGAGTCTTTCAAAAGATATATATTAATTTGGTAAGAAAATTACTTAAATTCATTCAGTCGAAATGAAATATGGCCGGTTGTTCACTCCTAAATTTTAATGATTTATGAATTGTATTAGATTGACTGACCACTGACTGAACAGATTTTACAGTACACAGAACGCTCTTTATAATCTCCTGTCAGTGGATGATGGTAACGTGTTGTCCAACATCTGTTCCTCAGATCCGGATGCTATTGTTACGTGTTATTGTAGTACTTATATACATCTACAACGCGATAACATGTGTGATTTATTTAACAGTTATTCATCCGATAAATAGACATTTTGTTAGTATTAAGATATATCTATTACATTATGGATGTCCTAGTTAACACAGCCGATACATGTCGTCAGAACCTGTTGCTGTTTAAAATAAGTATACGTTGCAAATCATGATGAAGCAAAGAGATAATAATCTCAAATCAATGTTACAAGAGTCCATTCAAATTTGGTAAGAATCAGTGAGATGACAAGGATATTTCTGTAAAAGTTTCGGAAATATTTCATCTGCATTAAGATTTTAATCAAATGGTATTATTTGTTGACATGATATTGATTATTTCGCTGATATAGGGATATTTACATGTATCTGTTTGTTCAAATTACTTCAAAGTAAAGTCAGATCATGATTACTGGTATAGATTTAACACTACCGTTTCTCATGCCATCAACATCAAATGCACTTGGGTGATGTCATTGTCATTTTGCAAGCAATGAACGATTTGATAATAAAGATGATTTTGGTACTTTAAAAAGAATCTTTCACTTAATACTTATCAGACTTTTTGAAAAAAGCTTGTAACATTCGTAAATCGGATATTTGAATCTACATGTCGATTTTCACCTTTTGGTTATTCGTTTTGTAACATCATAAACTTGCTATGATATGAAATCAAAAGACAAAAATAATGTACTTAATGATTGTATCATTTGGCAAATATTATTAGAATTATAACCCATTCCCTGTATTTTCAGCCTGTTGACCGGGTACCCAGACGATGGAGATCCGGACCTTCAGTGTTACCTACAGCTCCGCCCTGCTGCTGCTTCTGGTAGTAGCAGGAGTCACGAGTAAGTATCCCAGACCTCACTATCACTACAGGATTATACCTCATACTCTTTGATTTGAAAAAAATATAAAATTAGCCTTAAAATTTCAGAACACCACTGAAGAGTTGAATCATGAAATAAAGAAGGTTTTTGAATATTTTTTGCCTAGAGTTACGCCAATCTGAAATATCTTTGATTTTTCGATTAATTTTCATGATATGAACGACATAAGTAAAGCATATAAATTGTTTTCGTCCATTCGTCCGTGTGTTTATAGCAATAAGAAAAGCACCGGAGAAAACTGATTTTTGTTGGTTATATTTAGCACAACAGCCAACATGTAATGCAAATGCAAAATCATTTATGATATGGATTATTGACTTCTGAAATTTTGTTGTTGTTCGTTTTCGTGTTTCTGCAATTAACATGCGGATAAAACCTACTTCATATTCATGACGATTGACCTTCGAAATTGATTTTACATATAAGTGAAAAGTAACAAAATTAGTGGTATGAAGATAAGAAATGTGATTATGCAATGAAAACATATTTTAGATATTTGGCATTTTTTTTCGTGCTTCAAAGTCAATGGTGATCGAATTATAATTATACGTCATACTTACTTAATAATACTTGCAGCAATGATTAGCATAGCATTTCTCTGGATACTGTCAAATTTACTTCTTTATGTAATAATTTGTTTCATCTGAGTCCTCTTGTCATTTTTGCTATTTTTAAACGTGATTATTCTTATTAATTTAATGTAACATCAGTCTCATAAAAGTATATTTTTATGATTCGAATATTCCCGTAATAACCGGTTTTTTTTAATTCATTGAAAGTGTCTATTTTCGCAATTATTGGAAAGGAAAATATTAAAACAAGCGCATAGCAGAAAAAAAGCTCTTCTAGGGCAAGGTAGTCAACTCATCTTTTTCAGTTGGTTTATCTGATTTCCAGTTTTTAATTCAGCTGTCTCAATATTATCTTATTTTTCATTCCATTTAAACTAAAGTCGACATTTATGGAAACATTTTTTTAGTAACGAAACTAAATATTTCGTTTTTATCACATCAACATTTCCGAAATATCGTGCACACATGGAATGTTGATTTTATTGAGAAGATTGTGAACCATGAAATTTTTAACATATTTATCATTGTTGCATTTACAGACGCTGCAGAAAATAATACATGTTCTTTTCACGACTTTCACACTTGTGATGAAAACGCTGACTGTATAGAGAAGAATGGCGAATTTGATCATTGCGTTTGTAAACAAGGGTTCGAAGGGGACGGATATCGAGGGGAAAACCACACACACTGCATATGTACGTAAAAAGACTTAATATAAAATGTAATAAACGGAAAAAAATCTTACATAAAGAGAGAGAGAGAGAGAGAGAGAGAGAGAGAGAGAGAGAGAGAGAGAGAGAGAGAGAGAGAGAGAGAGAGAGAGAGAGAGAACTAAAGATAAATGACATATCAGTAAACAATTAAATCCATTATTTGTACCATTGATTGGCGTCAATGAATATATTTGCGCTTGTATCATCGACTTCGTGTTTTAACGATATGGCAATTCTCCATTCCATTGATTACTGTTTACACTTCGGATCATAATGGTATAGCTGGGTGTCATCAAAGAGTCAACGGAAAGGACTAGGCTGCACTCGATTGAATCATGTCATCCGAAAACATTCTGGAAAAGTCATGTTTGATGTACCTTAGACAGTGTAGTTCGGCATTGAGTATGTCATGTATGGACCATATAAAAGACGCTGTCAGTGTTTTCTGGGACAGTAACAGAGGCTAACTAAGAACGGGAAGATTACTAGTCACTCAATCTTCAATCTGTCTAGCAGGTTTACCCTCCTAGCTTAGATACTTCATCATCGCTCTATACTTAGTTTTATCAATAATCAATTCACAGGCAATATGTCTCCAACGTAGTTTTTTCAGTTAACTTCAGCAATATGTTCCTAGTTTGGTCAATTTTATCAAGTCACTTAAACAAACCAAGAACAGATTTATGACGATAATGTTATTTCTTTGCCACTTAAGATCTTTGACGTTTATAACAAATAAATCTTTCTTTAAACATAAGAAATTGTATAAAGTCCGCACCAGTCTGCTACGGAATACTTTTTCTTCTTTTTCAAAATCGAAATTTCAAGAAATAAAAATGAGGTTTTTCGTTTGAAAAAGTAGTACTAAGAGATATCAATATATCCAACATATACTCATGAATGATCTTTATTTAAGTGACCGCATCATTCCATAGTTAAGGAAGTGTACTTTGAGAAGAACGGTCAGCGACGGTACCACTATATGACTTTTCTAAAGTGTAGATGAAATGTATATAATTGTGTTCATAACACCGTAAACGCAATAAAACGTTGTTTACTGACTGTGAATGTGATGTATTTATTTTTTTAATGTTAGATTGTTTCTTTTACAAATATTTTGTCCTCTTTTCTACGATTTCAATTTTTAATTTCAATTATACGTTTGACATGCCTGTACTCACTTTCAGCAGTTGGTATTTTACGGGCTCAAGTAACAACATTCACGATTATGAGCAATTGGTAAAGCAAACATGAAAACTGAAATAAATGAATTAGAAGTTTCTTTATCATGGAGATATAAAATAAATGGATGAAGCAGAAAATTAAACATAGGTTGTTACGCGAACTTGCCCGTTTGAAATAGACATACACAATGACCAATATCTTGATGATATATATTTCATCATCGTCATTATTATGTTTTAACATTGATATATTTGTATGTTGTTTGAATATGAAACAACATTGTCATTATTTCTTTGTAATGATAAAAATCAACCTCAGGAATACAACTATGAAACAATCCATGAAAGAATTTGCTGCAAACGAATAAACGAATATTTATATTCTGTTAAATAAAAAAATTCTTATTTCAAATCACAGCTATGAATATATCATGTTCTGAGGATAATGACTGTCTGGAGTATAACGGGATTTGCGTTGACGAAATTTGTCAATGTAAAGCTGGATATGAGATGAATCCTGAGACGAAAGTGTGTCAAGGTATGTAAAAAAAAAATAAAAACATCAAAAACATAAGCTACGAGAAATCGGTTACCTACACTTTACATTAGGAAGGTGGATTTATTTTATCTAAAATAATTCAACAAAGTGATCATTTACAATGTAACGATCTACAGCAAAGCACATATATTAATTTTTGCAATGTTGCATGTTATTCGTGAATCATTATATCTCGACCTCAAACCCAAATGTGGTCTGTATCAAAACAATAGTTATATCGATTTGACTTTAACAGTGACAATGTCTGACAGATTGGAAGTTAATAAGATATATAAAAACATCGATTTAAAGTTTATATCAACTTAATGTAAAAGATTTATTTTGAATATTTCATTTTATGTTACATGTGTGTATTACTTATCTAAACTCATTTTTGAATATTGTTTATTTCAAATTTTCCCGATACTGCTATGAATCACTCAATTAAAAGTAGAAAATCAGTCACCAAAAAAAGTTTAATACGACATAATAGCTATTTCATTTCAAACAATCTTTACATATATAGTGCATTCAAAATAGGGAAAACTCCTCCAAAACATATATTAACGTGAATGTGAATTAACTGCTATTGCCAATTAAAGCGTTTATTTTTCAACAAACACATTTAGAAATAAAAATATGGTATTAATTGCATATCTTCACTTCGACACATATATTTAAATAAAAAAGCCGATTCATTTATAGATACTAAGGTATACATATAAATTTCATCTCATTCATTTTGCTAAGGTCTTTTTTAATATAACTTGTATATATACGTCATAACATTATCAAAAATCCATCTCAACAAGGTTAATATCATATCATTGTTATATAGACATCAACGAGTGTGTACCGCCGAATCGCTGCGACCCAAACGCTAACTGTACCAACATCCCCGGTTCCTTTGTTTGTACATGCGGGGCATTATTCGAGGGTGATGGATTCAGTTGCAAACGTAAGTACAAATCTTATCACAAAACGTATCATTAATCAACCAAATAACATCGATGATAACCAAGCAAAGTATGCTAAGCAACGTATTCATTTTGAACGAAACTAATGCAAAATATGGTAAACATTAAACATTAGACGGATACTCTTCAAAAAGTATTAGGAGAAAAAGACCAAGATAATCTTGACAAATACAAGTAAGAAGAGTCACGTTCACAAACGAGAACAAGGTAAACGCCAACGGAACAACCAGGTACACTTAAGCACAACAAACACGTCCAGCTTCATATCGTACAAAGAAATGGAGTTTTTTTTCACGATGAGATCATTACGAGGAAAGCGAAATTTTCTCATAATCTTCATCAACTTGCATCATCCGAAACCCTTTATTGTGAATGTGTCAGTTATGTTTTGGAATTGTCTGTCACTAGTGATACTGGGAACAAGTCCTAGAATATCGAATCAACTGCGACATATTAACACAATGGATGTGGGATGTTGCGTTCAAGAAATGGAAACTTCACCCTAGAAAGTTTAAATCGTCATGGTTATCATATATCTTGAAGGAAAACTGTTGTTTCCGCTGAAGTAAAAGATCAAAATAAGTGGCGGATGCAGAAGAACGTGTCTTGTACCTGATTTCAATTTTTCAGGGTGTATAAGATGAATATGGTCAATGAACCTCTTGTTATTTATTGAAAAGGCGTCACGATATATCTGGAAGTGAAATTTGGACTTCATATGGTCTTTGTGTCCTGATTTGATAACAAAAAATGTAAGCCAGAAGATGAACTAATTCCCATAGGACTGCCAATGACCTGTTCGAAGATCATGGCAATAAACTCGATGAAGATATTTTCAGCCATGAATTCGAACATTTTTATGATTTCGTCCTCTGTATATTTCTTCTGTATTTTCTCCCTTTCATCTTGAATTATTTTTCGCGAATTACGACAGGAGACGTGTTTTTCGAATGAGGGTGTTGAAGATTGGCCAAAAGCTTTAATTTCTTTGAAATCCACATGCCATAAATTCCATTTTTGAATTTGAGCAAATATATCAAAAATATTTTTAGAAAGTGTATTGTTTTGTTGTAATTATTGCAGAAATATGTCGAGTGGACTCAAACTGTCACAAACATGCAAAGTGTATCCTTAAGGAATGTGTATGTGATGACGGATACAGTGGAGATGGCATCAACTGTACAGGTAAAATTAATATCTTTAGTACAATATTATAATGATTGTTATTTTCAAAGATCTTCGACCAGGTTGTCGTGAACATTTTAATATGATTAACTTTTAACTCTCTCTACACGAAAAGAAGTTATTTTATGATTCATGATTATATTATTACAAACAATGTATATTACAACAAAATGTTGATTTCTCTCTTTTCCCAGACGTAAATGAGTGTGAAACAGGTGAAAACAACTGCCATTTGAATGCTGACTGTATAAACACCGATGGATCATTCGAATGTACATGTAAATCAGGTTATACAGGCAATGGGTTATCATGCGAAGGTAACTTTTCTAAATACTTATATTTCCCATAAAGAAAATTTGCTTAATCAATGTCAAAAGAAGGCCACTTTCCAGTAAATGCTTTTCATTGAAATAGTGTGTAACGAAGTGAATTTTAATTGAGAAGTTTACACTCATGATACATAAATAAATGCAACACTATTTAGACGATACAACACAAGCAAAAATAGAAACATATTTTAAAATATCATCATCGTTATTCTACAAAGTAGCATAAGAAATTTTATACAAATTTAAGTTATGACTTTTATTCAACATTTACTCATTTAGTATACAAAATTAATATTCGGAAATATTTATATTCTACTTAATGGAATGATGAGATGGCTATACCGATATTCAACAGCCTAGTTTTGAGTTCACTGGTCTTAAAATTGTCTTAAAAGGATAATTTTGTGTTGAAATATTGAAGTGGTGTATTTGATCCATATTTCAGATAATTTGTTATTTTTTAAGAAATATTTCTTTTATGTTTAATTTCCCCTAACTTTGTGTTTTTCAGTGGTGCCACTTTCGTGTCATGAAATTCTCCAGAACAAGCCCACTGCCACATCAAAGACGTACCTCATCGATCCAGACGGCACTGGGCCTATCCCTGCTCTTGAGGTCGATTGTGACATGCGTGGAGACAACATAGGTGTCACTATAGTGAAGACCAAAGTCAAAAGTAAACTTATAACGGCCACTGATCCAGATTTTGATTTACAATACGATGCAACTGTTGAGCAGATTAAAAAGATAGCTAACAATTCTGGATATTGTTATCAGGAAATGAAGTAAGTAGAACGAGAAACTTAACGAGGTTGTAGGGGTTTTGATGTTACAAAAGATGAACAAATATTCATAGTTCTTTTATTTTATCTTTTTAAGTTCTTATGTATTTATACCGTAAAACGGATTTTGTTTCAAATATCATATCCTATTTAACTATTTCAATTTCAATTTCTACTCAAGTGGACCCAGTGAAACTACCAAATTCAGCATGTTCATTTGTCCATTATTTTGGTCATATTAATATCGCTTTGGGCATATAGATGTATTCTTCACAGATTCTGTAAAGTGAGAGAACACTTCCATATGTTAATTAATAAAATCAAAAATTAAAAGAGTGATCAAATTTGTTTAAGATTTTCAGAATATGAATCGATAAAGAATATATATATAATTATTATTAGATACAAGGAAATATTACATTGAAGTTATCTTTAGGAGGACAAGTGTGTTTTCCATGTATTGTTGTCGTCTGCTACAAAATGACCAGCAATTCAGTTTTAAAATTTACTACCCAAAAATGAACATCTCGAACAAGATCAAGAGCGTTTACAAAGTGATTCTGACACAGAACTGAATATGGTTGTTGATGCGCTATTGATACACTGGAAGAGTCACAACAAACATCAAACTACTGTTGTGTCCTGTACGGATATTATGAATGGGGAGCATTCTTTGAGTTTTAGCCTAAGATGACATCGTTAAGCAATCGTCAGTGTTCAAAGAGCTTAAATAATAAATGAATGACCACATGCATTTGCCCATTATTACATGTCAGTGTACATGACCGCCTTACGTTAAAAGAGAGTATAGACGACGTATTTAAAGCCACAAAAGGAGTTTCGCAACATAAATGCTAAAAATTTCTCCTCTCCTCCGAAAGTTTGGGATTTTACCCTCTTCGCCTTACGCTAAAGCTGAAAGAAAGCTTCTAATTAATCAAATCCTAACTGAAACTGGAATGAGTACTTGGCATTCGTCGCTATCGACTCGGAATGGCTTCGTGTGGCATGTTTAAACAGTTCATCAAAGAAGAGAACTTTGTCAAATATAATAAAATAATATCACTGTGCGTCTTCTGATATTTTGGTTGTAGTGACTACTTCGTATTTCATGAATTTAAACACAGTTCACAAATTGTGTTATCAATTAAATCAATTCAATTTTCATCCTTTACCTTATCATTTCCTTGCTCAAGTTTGCTGGTGTTTCCCCTGTTATGAATAGGGAGGTGTAATTAATGTGTTCATGAATGCATGAATCTGCTTCATAATCTATTTTACAGAGCAATATGTCGACGGTACAGTGTGATGTTAGCTAATGGTACTCATTGGGTGGACGGAAATGGAGAAAAACATACGACATGGGCCGGTTCATCTGTAGACGGGATGGTAACAAAAAACCTCATAATATGTAGCTTCCCTTATGGAACAATAAAACCACAGTGTAATATCTCACAATATCGATCGGATTGCGAATTGAAAAAGCTCTTCTGAACATACCTATCAGAAATAACATTGCTGTTCATCCATCTGTCTGTTCTGCTCTTCTCTTTTTGTTTTCTTAAAAATCCTTATTAAATGATTTCTATTTTCATCATTTTCATCAACATCTAATTTCTATGTATTTGAATTTCTGTTGTGTAGTGTCCCTGTGGACAGCTTGATGGTTTCTGTCAAGTTCGGGGATCCCATTGTAACTGCGATGGTTCTGCCAATTTGGTAGAAGACAGTGGCAAACTGATTTCGCGGGAATTATTACCGATACAGTCGGTGCACATGCAACTAACGGGAGTGCAGAGATTCACAACAGAAATCGGTGCGGTGGTGTGTAGTCCACAGCCTTTCGGTAAGTAATTTAAGTAGTTTGAGAGTGTATACATAATTATAGGCTCTTGAATTAGAGATTTATGAAATGCATCTTAGGTGTTTTTGTAAACCATGGTTTTAACAGTTTAAACTTAGAGATAAATTTGAAATCTCATTGCTTTTTAAGATATTCCGAAGGATTGTGACGAAGCAAAGCATAAGCTAGGTCAGAAAAAGAACACGGCCTTAATCATAGATATAGACGGTCCATCTGGTGAGGGGGAACCTGTATTAGTGCACTGTGACATGGAGACATACCCACATGTGGGCGTCACAGTAGTACCGACGTAAGTAGTCTAATCACGTTTATAGTTATTAGCATAAATTAAATTTTCTATTTACGAAAATATGTAGTACCCACGTAAACATCTAATTACGTAAACAATTAGCATCAATGTAAGTATTGTAATGATATTTGTGTACGCAGATAGTACCCATGTAAGTATTCTATTTTAGTCAAAAGGATAGGAGAAGTTTTCCGCTTATACATATTTACACCTTCTGCTGACATTTGAATCATATTACATACATTCATAGTCATTATTGACACAACCACATGAAAAATTGACTTGGAAAACAACTGACCAAAGGTACTGCACGCTGTACTTCCAATGTTGTTAAAGTTTTCTATCGCACTTTTTTCTTCATTCATTGGTTTTTCTCCGAGGCGAACAGGCGCATTAGAATTCTGGACATCCATTTTGACTTAAACAAACCAATACATAGTATGAGTATTTAGAAAGATTTGTCATACGTGCATTTTGATTTAAAGTGTTTGGCGAAGAAAATCATGAAATCACGCAATGCATTTTTATCGACTTTGAGAGATTACCTTTCGAATTTTTTCAATATTACCAAAGTAACTTTATACTGGTAAACACTTTTGCGTGCACATTGCCTATACATTCGAATTTTCCTTTCTATCAAATACTTATTATTTGACACCAGAATATTTCTTTGTGCAAAATTACTATATCAATTACGCACAGTAAGCATAATGCCTATGTTTTCTGTAAACAAAATTTTTAGAAGACAATGAAGTATTTACACCAAAGCATCCCCTGTATATTTTATCTATTTGTTATTTAAAGTTTTTTGTATATCATCATAATGCCAAGTATCGTATTTGTTTTAATGCTGCTGCAAGCACAGACTACAACAAATTAGATAGATATTAATACACAATATAACCACATCAAACAATAAATTTCACTGCATCACACAGCTTTTGTTTCCTTCTAGTACATTTCAGTGACACCAATGACATAAAATTTTTGAACCTAGGCGACGACCGAAAAACAAAAATCCAAATTGGTCGAAAGGAAAGGAAGAAACCATATGGGATGCAACATTCCAATAATTCAATTCTTTTTATCATTTTCAGTATTGAATGATTATACATGCCAAGTGTATATCATGAAGAGTGCCAATATTCAAATAAATCAAATTATCACGATTTTTGTGAAATCGACAACTGACGGATAAAATCATAACACTTGGTTTCAAAAGATGCAAGTTATGGGGAAGCTTTACGGTCGTCATAGTGACTCATTGGTATACCTTGTTCTCATTTAAAAGCATGACATTTCTTACTTGGATTGACCAAGATTTACATGGCCGGTGTCATTGGTGAAGCAGAAGACACGTACACTTCTGGAACACCTGGTCTAATTTTTCTTGTATTTTTGTCAAGAATCTCCGTGTAAATCTTTCTTTGCTTACATTTTGCCCTAGTTTTATTGAATTTAAGTTTAAATTTCCTTATTGTTTATTGTACATCAGTTTAGTACTCGGCTTAAGCAATGATGCTAAGCACCAAACAACATACACAGCAGCAGAGAATAAGTTGTATAAATTAGGTAGAAATAGGAAGCTTTGTTTTATTATCACTATACGACCTGCTTTCTTCCGTAGAACCGTCATCAAACAACCGACAGGCCCAGGATTGGTCCCAATATCCTATCCCATAAACAATGATGTTGTAGCGAAGATAGTTGGTTTCTCGAAATTCTGCGTACAAGAGGCAGCATTTAATTGTATGGTATGTTTCACTGTGTTAACGTAATTTTCATTTCTTATATTGAAAATTAACTAATTAGCTTTAAATTTGATTAAAATATATTAAATGTATTCTGACATAATTGTACAATTTCTTTTTTCAGAACACCGATTTACAAGACTTCTATTTCACAAATATTAGAAATGAGAAAAGGCATTTCTTCCCTGGCAGTTTAAATCGGGACGGAGCGTGTCCATGTGGCTTGCTATCAACGTGTGCTGACCCCAATAAATTATGTAATTGTAACTTGAAAGATGGGGTAGAGAGGATGGACTTTGGCGCAGAGTTTGATAAAGATAATTTACCTATTACAGCAATGTATTTTGGAGACGTAGGAAGAGCAGCAAATCAGAATGCTTCATATACTATCTCTTCTCTCAAATGCAGCCAGCAGGCATTCTGTAAGTATATGATAGTGTGATATATGATTATGTGATTAGAAACCTCCAGGCCATACTATAGTGTTTTTATTTCTTACTACTTACTTACTATTTAACGGATTGAGATATTGAAAAACTCAATATTGGTGTGGAGGTGAATGCCAGAAGATAGAGTTATTTAGTAATGACCCTAAGGCAGTTTAAAGTAGTTACCAAACTCTACTCACTTTCGAAGAAGTTTGCCAACAATTTGTATTAAAAACAATATGCAATATGATTTCTTTTTCATTTTGGTCAACAAATGCGGAACATACCTGTCGCACCGGTATATCTAGGTTTTTGGTGTGACTAATTTTGTGATTTTGTCAAATCTAAAAATGTACATATTACTTCTTTTGAAAACGATATATAGAACAGTTTTTCCCGTTTCGCTTTTTATTTATTTATTTATGCTTTTCGATTTTAATAACTGATATTCTCTGAAATGAACTACTCGTTCACTCACAAAAGATAAAACAAATAAAAAAACGGGACTTCCCGTAAAACCCTACTTTTTATGGTTTCTTCATTGGTTCTTCATTTGGATACCATGGTAGTCCTGTATTCAAATAATTTTACTCTGTTTTTCTTCCTAAATGATTTTCATTTTACTTTTCTATGTACATTTATGTATTTTCCATGAAAACATTATTTATCATAACTATGACACAGCAATTGAAGCCAGTTGCGAGTCGTACCTGAGGGATAGAGGAAGAAATTATAGCTATGTCTATATGATAGACACCGATGGTCCAGAAGATAGACAAGGAGACCCAGGTAATTGATGATGTTTTAATTCGATACTTTCATCTATTTTCACATTTTATTATAACTTCTACCTCTTGTTTAGCCTTTAACTTAGCAACATTAACATTGTAATTAATTCGTATACGACTATTTCATTAGTCTTTAACGCTATCAAACCCCTTTCTAATTTTCTTTTACTATCCGTAAATGGCATGAAACAAATTGAATTGAATCACTTTAAACTGCACACTCACAATACGAAATATGATGTGTTTTAATTTCACAGATGACAAATAAGTTGATTCATTTTCGACACACACACACACACACACACACACACACACACACACACACACACACACACACACACACACACACACACACACACACACACACACACACACACACACACGTATATACAAACTTTCAGAAAACACCCTATGAAGGTCATTAAAAGAAATTGAAAAGAATAAACATTCTGTAGTGATTCGATTAACGACATGGCGTATGCTTGTATGAATTAAAGTATAGCTGAAGGATAACCAAACATCAGGGATCGCAAAAAATTATTCGCTATTATCATATTCAATTTTCAGTTATTCAATAGATTATAAGATAAAATGATTAAGTCACTGTTTACGTAAAACCTATTGTTGTTTCGCCCTCGTTCAAACGAATTGACTTCGCCTAGAGTTAAATTTTACCCTGAAATGATGATAAAACAACACGTTGTTAAGCTTCAACGCAATACTTCGGTTTTTACATAGATTATGAAAAAAGACTTTCACTATGGTAAACGTTTTCCATATACAGTATTCAGCAATATATGTAATTCGATATTAAAGAATATTTTATCTGATTTAAATACTCCACAGCTAATGTTCCACCTTTCCCTGTGGAATGTCAAATGTACACTAATCCACCACATGGAGTGACTGTTATTCACTACGAGTCAGAAGGATCGGTAGGTATAGTGCTTAGATAATAATAAAACCAAGGAACAATGCATGGTTTCTGTAAAACACCTTTACAATGAAGTGTTATGATGGAACAATTTAAGTGGATGTTTTGGTTTTTCCTTTAAAAATCCCTGTGAACAGATGAGGCTTTACCATTCTTGACCAAAATTAACAATGCTGGTGTTGTCGATGAAGTGGAACATATGGTCTCATATAAGCTATCTTGTAATTATTTCCGTGTAAATCTTTCTTTTGTACATATTTTTCAATAACTTTTACTAGCTGAGTTTAAATTTTGTTAAACAATTTGAGATTTTGTTAAAGTATGGGTATTTTCCTACTGCCATAATACATTGTTATTCCATGAATAACTTAAATAATCACAAAAATAACTAATTTCTTCATTTATATCAGAAGGATCAGACCCAACACTGTATCAGTCTTAATATCATTATCCCTTTTTATAACCTCAAAACAGCATTTTAAGTCACCTGAAGATGGTCCTTCTTCATCGTCAAAACACATATGCCACCTAGGAAAATAATCCATTAATACAAAACTACATAATAGTATAGAATTTACATTATCAAAGCCTCACATTTTTCATTTTTTCCCTAAAAAATAGAGACAAATTGAAGGTGTTATGGAATATGTGTATCGCATGGTTGACAACAAGCAACTGCAGAAATTGATGGTTCGTTCAATTTACTGTACTCAAGCTGTTTCATACACCTGCAATGTACCGGGAAAAGTTCACAATGCTAGTAAGTACGACAACATAATAATCACACATATTTTATTTGAACCTACTGTAATTGTTGTTTTCAATTGTTCACATTTTAGCGGTTTTTAAGTTCCTATCAGTAGTTTGACTGGTAGTCGAATCTAGATGCATCAAACTTTACATAGAAGAAATTTTGTATCTTGTTTATGTAATTTGAAAAAATATCAAAACAAAAATCAATAATTCATAATGGTAAATCAACTTTGGCAAAAAAGCGAAACATATCCATCATTAAGATTTACCGATAAAGATATTCCCCGAAAGCAGTAGTAATTGCGAGGAATAGTTCCTCTTTGTAACAGTCGTCTTTTAAACTACTCTACTCTCACCTGTAAATAAAATGAGGCTGTTGTGTGATAAAGTGGATTAGTTTACTCCCGTTAGTTTCAACTCTTATTATCTTTCGTATTCTGAATGCTCAAATTAATAAACGCGCGTGGTTTTGTAAAAACAAATTCACAGCAAAGTTTTACACGCAACGCATTCGTAACAGAATGGGAAAGAATACTTTAAATTGGAAAGCGATATTCATATCTTATTGTTCACGTGATCTTACCAATTATTCATATTAAATAAAAGACAGCGCTACATGAAGCACATTATCATTTTAATCAGTTACTACAAGGCAGTGTTGTTCACAGGCTATTACAGCCAGACCTGTCAAGTCTGCGAGTGGCTTTTGTTTTTATCTCGATTTCATATTATTGTAGTTACTATGAATAACATCTCATTGCCACCAGTGAATATCAAATAATCAAAACAAAACAAAGACATACTCGGGTATATTTCATTTTGCAAGTTGGCCTCCAGTGTTGATTCAGATATTATTCACCGAAGAGTAGATGCTGCCAGGATCACAGGACTATGAGTTGACATCATTTTGGGGCCACTATGATCGTCATTATGTCAACGCTTTGCACGTCGCCTCATTATAGAATGACGTTAATGATTTCTCTGAGTTTTTCAAGGATGTAAACATATAACGAAGAAAACAATTTTAAATTAGTAAAAAAGGATAATTTTCTAAATGATATCCGAAATATAAAAAAAAAATTGAGGGTGTTTTTTGCCTTTATTTAATCCTTAAACGTCTGTCAGATTGTATCCATTGTCATTATGAATGCGATCTGTGAGCAAGACAAATAATGATGGCGTCCTAACGTCATTCTATTGATCTCTCAACCATATTACATTCATATTGGCAGTAAATACAATTAAAAGACGTTCTATTAATAATTAGAGCAAATAACACCATTGGGTTCATTTCGTTACCCTGGAATTGACAGCAGGTATATGTAAACGGTTCTATCACCAGAAAAACTTGGATATCATGAAAACCTAGGAAGAACACTGTGTAGGTTGTTAATTTTGAGGTATTTCATCTTATCGTTTCTTTTCTATAACGTCATTTATCCTCCAACGTTTCAGTAAAATTGTAAAAAAATAAAATTAAGAAAAGGAGTCATTAAGAAATCTTTTACTTTTCCTTTTTATTAACAACTCGTGAAAAACAGTATGTGATTTAAAATGTGAACAGTGAAAACAGAAGAGCATGAATCTATCTCGAAACCACATAAACATGCAACAAATTTTATAGTAATTTCAACCGCATTTAAGTTAATCTCTTAAGTAATATAACTGAGCAAACGAACAACCGGATGATGAAGTCAATTTACATGTTCAAAAACTTATCTTTCAATATATAAATTAATTCATTATTCAGGTGGAGATTCGATAATATCCTGGATTGGGCTAGACGGTGCGACTCATGAATATTTGCATGGCCAAGATGGAAGCAGTTGCCAGTGCGCTTTGACCAACACTTGTGATGGATCTGGGGTGTGCAATTGTGATGGCAGCTCATCAACGTACGTACATGATATTGTGGATTAATTCAGTTTAACGTTCTACTTCTTAACTGCATATTTTTTCAATGATGGCGCATCCACAACAATTACGATCCATCATGTAAATCAAATTTGTTTACTTGTAGCGCAAAAGTATAATGCAAAATTTCAATCCATTTACCCCAAACTTAATAAATTTCATAATTGCATTTAAGTTGATAACCTGTCAAAGATGTAAATATAATGTTTGTTTTTGTTCGCTAAAAAGGGGTTATTCGAATATTGATTAATTGAAATGTGGAAAGCTGAAGACAATGGATTTTGTTGAGAGATATTCTTCAGATAAATCAAATATGGGGCACTTCTCCGAATTCGAACTTGGTGTAGGACTTATTCGTATATCTTAACATTGTATTGATTGAAATCAATCTTTTTGCAGGTCAGATTCTGGCAATTTATTCAACAAGGAACATTTACCTGTGATGAATTTCACCTTTGCACAACCTCAAAGCAGTAACAATCTTAACCTTGGACCGCTTATGTGTTTTGGTAGGTACATGTTGAACTACTGTCTGCAAACTCTCAATAATAATATTATTTGTATCCCTATAATAATATTATTTGTATCCCTATCTTAAGGTTATATGTCTTCCAAGACATGCGATATTTATTGATTTTGATTTTAAGAATAGAACAACAATCTAAACACGGAAAGCTTGGTTACCGAGGATGATAGCGATGTTTTTCATTAATCAACCATTTTCTAACAATAAATGAAATAGATTATTTTCTACAGTTGGAATTCTTCCCCACCCACCATACATGTGGATGTGTTATCTTTGCCTGCGTATTGTATTGGAAACAGAAAAAAAAATATATATGCAGATTCGATATGTCCTATTTACATTTCACTTCGGATGTTAGGAGTAAAATAGTGATGTAACAAATGCATTTCAGGATGAAAAATGTCAACCTTATCCCTGACTCTATTTCCACCGAAAACGTGCTTGAGACCTCTAATTCCTCTCAAAACGATATCCCGATAGGGGATACAGGAGGACAATTTCATTATACTGTACACCCTGTACTCATCATAATGAATAGATCGCAGAATAATAACGTTAATCTCAATGTCAGAGGTCAAGCTGATATCATTATAAGACAGGGCAAACGTGTTTATCAAACTGATATCCCCGATGCATTTCTGCGAGTATATTATGATTTTGCTGCTCAACTTTAAAAGTTGAAAAATTATATTTTATGTTGTTTCACTAGCTTGATATGTATCACAATATATTAAACGTTATAGAGATCCGCCCTACCTGTAAGAGTCTGCTGGATGGCAGACGACAAAAAATGGAAAGCGAAGTACCTATACCAACAAATACCCAATACACTGTTGATCCTGACGGGGCTGGTGGGGTGAAACCGTTTGTTGTCTTCTGCAAGTTCCCACAGACCATCGTATCTATATCTCCAGGTTTGAACAAAAACTCTTTGTATAGTAACTAAAAATGTAAAAGAGATTTAGTAGTGTTTTGAGTATCTGTGTATAGACTCTCTTTACAACAATGTCGGAATGAATCAAGAAAACAAAATTTTCTAAATACATAAATCATTATATTAATCATTCTAAGGGGCAATCTAGTTCCCTCTTGATACATCTTCGTTTAAATATTGTTCCTTATTCCTTTTGATATATGTAATTACTTCACTTTACTTAATTTCACTTGCAGTAATTGTAAGACATAGCTTTTACGCAATATTGACATTTTTTTAAATATTTACATTCATAATTTTGAAATTGTCATATTGCATTGTGAAACTCATCATGATAAAGATTCTGCGAAAAAAGATTAAGTTTAAGATTAAGTAAAAAAGAACGGAATTATCACCGTACCTAAATATCATTGAGGTAAACACAAGGAATCTGAAGACGATTTTATGGTAGCTATACTACTTACTACACTAACACTCATGCTGGTCTTCCTTGTAGACGCCGAAAACTCCACTGGAACTTCAGGAGGCGATGGCGTCAACAAATGTTTTAACATTACGTACAATAATGGTATTTCTCCCGAACAAATACAGGTAGGTCAATGTCATCAGCTAGCAGCGCGCACACAGGTCATCATTTTTGTTTTTGTAAATATTTAGCTATTTCTTACCTTTTCAATTTTATTATGATTATTATCTGAATTGCTATTTTATTAACTTTATAGATTGTTTTCAACAATGTAAACATTGCTATTCCAATGGTATCATTTTCACATTATGAACAGTATAGATTAATGCGCTTTTATTGAAACAAAAAATCATGTGTATTTTAGCAGCTTGTTGTGATGATTCCAGAAATCATGGTTTAATATCGATCGATATTTTGACTAAATAAGTCAGTTTAAACACCTTTATTTCGTTTATCTGTGGTCTAGTTACAGCTGTTTAGATGGCGGAATGTTTCTTTACAAAATTAAGCTGCATAATATTGTTTAGTTATAACTGTAGCTGTAAGTAAGCAAATAAGATCATCTCGATTGCATCATCTTTCTTGCAGGCACTGATAGACAGATCAGAGCATTGTACACAACATCTGAGTTACGAATGTCGTAATGCGCCAAGGACTGACAATGTCTTTTACAGGACTTGTAGTGGTGATAAGCAACCAGGTAAAATATATCATACTTCTTGTTTGCATACATGTAACTATTTATCTATGGAGTGATTTTATCGATTTACTTAATTACGTGGTATTTCAAGAACGAAAATATCGTTTTGGCAGTAAATCTCTAACTTAGACGATATTATATTCTCCAAATTCAGCATCTCAATAATACCTGTTTTGTATCTTAGTGAATAAACATTTATGCATTAGATAGTAATATTGTCAGTTATGTATTTGTCTCTAGTAGATCCTGGATTAAACTGCACATCTCTACATAACAGTTCATTTATTCCCTGAACCATGTATTGAAAGTTGATATTGACATCAATAAATTATTAGTCTCCCATCGGGAACAGGGACTATGGTCGTGCGTTGTGTCCGTATTTCCATGTATTATCCACCTACCTAGTCCGGTCTTAATCTCATTTTGACATTTGCCGTTCCTCGAAGAAAAAGTCTGGAACCATCTCCTTTTATGGGTGTATGGGTTTATGTTGTTGAGACTGTGTATTGGTGGGGGACTTATTCGTCGAATTGCCTTGTTTGTTTATGCAGTGACTGTTCAAGATTTTTGACTCGTTGTTTTTAAGGAACAGAAACACCGTTTTGGTTGAAAATCAAGTCAAATGCACGTTTAGATTTTGATGATATATTACCTCAACTTTGATTGATCGATTTATTGTCGGATTGTTAGCTGAATGTTGATAGGATTTGCCACTTTTGAGTGCTCATTTTTGTACTGTGGGTATACGCAAGTGAAGTGTGAAAATAATGCAGGTAGCAATACTTGAATCATTTGTTCAATTTTAGTCAGTAGTAAAATCCTCGACAAGAAGTTCTCGTAGCAAAAATGTACAGTCCATCGGAATATTGGTTAAAACAAAACGATACTCTTGCTAAGTTTATGGTAAGGTGTTTTGTTCTCCTTGCAATAAAATTCGTATCAATCTTTCTAAAAATGTTAGCGCATAACAGGGATGCTGATATTATGTTTGATGTCCCCTATATACTTATTATCGAAAGGAAATTCCGATGATGTACGTATTCACAACGCATCAGATACCCTCAGCAGATCAAGGTGTTTAGGTCATTCTTCTGCATGTTGATGGAGAGCGGCTATCATCTAAAGACACGGAATAAAACTAAGCTTGTTTGCATCAATTTCACTAGACAATAATGAAATCTTTGCATAAGTTTTCCAAAAATGTGTTAATGGTATTTTCATTTAGGCTGGGGTGGCTCAAATGGAGACGATTCTTGCGCATGTGGAGTGACAGGCACGTGCGTAGGAGGTACTGATGCCATGTGTAACTGTGACAGTGAGGATGACAATCTCTACACAGATGAGGGTTGGATACACAACAAAACGCGACTTCCGGTCTGTCAAGTGTGCATTTCACTGGACCCATTAAGTGATACGGTGGCATCTCGGTCCGGTTCCTATAAAGTGACAGATTTGATCTGTAACTCTGCTCCTATTGGTTTGTACTCAAAGCATTATATTCTTTCTTCATTTATTTCGAAATGTACTGGTCGCCAACCAATCCTCGCCAATGCATGATATATCGCAATATTCGTGCACACTGATTTTCAAGAATTAATATATAACAATTTGAAATTTCTTTGTGCTATTAAAACCATTCAGCATTTGTAGGGATTTTTACTCAATACAATGCAAAGATGTATTTCAAGATAGGATTTAAATTATGTATCATTAAACAAAATATGACATGAGCAATTAACCAGAATTAAAACAATTTAGTTGTTAAGTAACTGCATAATTTTGAAATCTACCTAAGTATTGGGTTTACAACGCAAAAAAACTAAATGGTAATCGATTATGAAAGATGACATTTTCTTCCTTGTCTTGATGAGGAGTAAAAGCCATAGTGTATTGACGTTTGGAATAATCAGGTACATTTTGCTTTATGCGGAACGTGGATTGAATTTATGCTTTATTTGAATAGTTGTATTGTCATTTTAAGGTATGTCAAGTCTTACTATTATTTTCCAAACAGAAACACGGGATCTAACATTCGCTTGCGCTAATATCATATCATTTATAAAACATACTGATAATTGAATATTTTGGACATTGTCGATGTGAATACGCATGTTTGAGAAACTTTAATTCAGATTTTGATTAATCAGGCATTGTGGGGTCGTGTCAGGACCGTATAAATGCTGGTATCCTGGAATCGGGTACAATCTACGTAGACCCAGATGGTCCAGATAAGGGCAATCCTTCCTATCCAATATATTGCCGTATAATTGCTAGACCTCCTATGGGCATTGCGGTAAGCATGATGAAAATACAGATGGAAATTATATAAAGATTATGAATATTTCAGTTAAAAACAGTATCCGGGTGTGAGATACATATGGACTAATTCGACAGTGTATCGAATGATAGAGATGTTATCTTAAAAGCTGTCTTTTTAAACTTTCAAAAGCAATGATGATTAACTTTCAAATGATAAGACTCGTGATAATTTTGGGGAAAACACTTCATTTCATCAATGAAGTGAACTCGCTTGATTTGCTTTCATTTTTCATCATAACAAAGATACGGAAATTGATAGACATTGTATTGGCAATCTACCCAATTTGGTTGTAACTTTAATACGATTGCGAAGTCAATTCAAAATAAAAAATGACTTGCACAATATTTTGACATCTGCGTAAAAATCAACTTCATTAGCGTGTATGAAATTCCTCTGAGATCCGTTTAAGCGACTCTTTGCTTCAAGATATACGACATTAGTGTAGACAGATATTGTCTCAAACTGGAAATAAGTCTGCTGAGTTGTAACGAGTTTTTGTTATAGACAAACATGGTCTTTCATTTTTTTTTTATCTTTAAAGGAAATCCGTCCGATCGAACCAGAACCTCCTGTATCTGAGAATGGAACTGTCGTTATCTACTACTTCGTCTTTGAGATATTTTATATTGCTGAGCTGGTTGAGAAATCCGTGTATTGTGAGCAGGCTATTTTTCTACTGTGTGGTGATGCGCAGATACCAGCAGATGGAAGGCATATGGACGACTGGATACAAGGACCAAACGGTACCATACGTCTTTAAAATACCATTCTGTTTTTTAATCTGCTTCTTTTATTAAGTTCTCTGAACGAAGTGGGGTACTATTGTTTTTACGCCGTTACTTATTATTATTGTTATAACAATAATGAGTATTTAAATACCAGTGTACTTATGATGTTAAAGAAATGGTAATTTTTGAAAGTGTCCTAATATTGGTCAAGGAGTCGGGTGGCACATGATACAGCGAACGTGGTGAAAACAAATAAAAATCAAAATATTAAACTTGATGAAATGATAAGTAAATAGAAATAAAAAAAAAAAAACCCAAAAAAAACAAGTTAATATTGTTTCAATTGAGCTTCAAAATGCAGTAATGCCCGTGTTCCAAGTTTAAACATAGCTACGATGACGTCATTTGGAGCAACTTCTGTGTTGTTTACAAGCTTTACAATACTGATCCATTAAAAATGCGCATATGATCTAGTAATATAGTGTATATTGTACCATTTGATACAATATGGCGCCTTGACAAACCTACGATATTGGATTTAACACCGTATGTACCCATATCAGTTGTTGTATAGTCGATATGGTCATTAACGCATTAATTATTTATCATGTAACTACTTTAATTAACAAGTCAGCCGCTGATAAGTATTTATCTATAACTATATCATTGGGGTTCTGTCACACATGATACACTGACCAGGATAAACTATTTTACATATACATGACACAAGTTGACCATCCATACATTTGTATCTGAATTGTGCACTCTTTATATAACCTTGTCATTGATGCACGTCTCATGGAAATCATTCATGAAGGATACATCAAGCCAGAAAAAGACGGAGATTTAACGTGATTTCTGAACTAAACGTCATTTCTACAATTTATTTATTCAAGACTTAGATTAAGTGAGCGCTAGTAACCAATCAACTTATTAAATTAGATTAAAAGGTTGTCTTTTGAGAGCATGACCGTGTAGATTATTTTCAGTACTGACTCTTCAAAACTTTAGAACGTTACAGACAACCAATTTTACGACGGAAGCAACCAGACGATTATTAAACTATACATGCACGTTTCGGCAAGTAACTTTGTACAACATCCCTGTTAGGTCATATAATCTACGTTAGTCACCATATTTACAGATCAGCTGTTGTTATTCGCTACCATCACGAATATAAAAATTCGGATTATTATGTATTGTGATATTTAACAACCTAAGCGGTAATAAGTATTTATAATATTTATTACTTTGTAGTCAGATCAGTTTTTGTATCGTGGCTATGGTCATTAACAAGAAATTTGGTTACATATAAAAACTTATTTTATAATCATTATTATCATTTATACGCCGCGCTTTGCACGAACGAACCTTTGCCTGTGCATAGATGGCTAGGCGGATTTTATGCTTTCAGCTATTCTTTTCTTCGATATAACATCGAATATGGCGGTCAGAGTCTCTAACTGGTTAAAATTTAACGGGAACTAACTCAAGTTTGGAATGTATTTTTTTCTAAAATCAAAGATGGCCGCCACAGAAACTGAAATTTTGATAAAAATTAAGAGATAAGTGTTGTCTAACGCAAGGAACACAACGGTGTTAATGGTGTATGTCAAGGCTCTTACATATGTTAATTTATGGGTGCATCAGCTATCTTTTGTCCAGCGTTGTCTGGTAGAGTCTCTTGACTGACCACGCATGACTGCCTCAATTATCTAGAGTCAGATGTCAGGTATTTTGCTTTATTGAAGATATTCTCAGCTGTTGAGTAGAATTATTTCCTACCATGGGTAGTTTGGGGGACTTGTGTAGTTGTCTCCGTTATATTTTGACTTGTTCAAATGTACAGTCGTTATGTCCGCGCAACGAAGTTAGAGGGTCTGTCTGTCTGTCTGTCTGTCTGTCTGTCTGTCTGTCAGTTTTTGCATAACCTTTTGAAACAATTAATATGAAACTGAATAGGAACTAAAGAAAACATGTATATGTTCCTTCATGTTTTCATTGACTTTAATGAAATTTGGTAAAATGGCGTACGTACTTAATCACAGTCTATAATTTGGCAAATCAGGCATTTCCAGAAAGGTTTCTATGAAAACAATGAAAGTTGTCTATAAGGGGGTTGAAGAGTTGCAATAACCATAGTTCTATTTTCCATTTTTTTCAAAACCTCCAAAGTTATTTGATCGCCATGATAACCAAATAAGACCTATGACTACAGAGATGTTGTCGGGAGTTCTAAACTTCGACCCAAATTGCGATAAAACTTTACAAATATGACATGGACCACACGGATTTTGTTTGTTTCCTTTGTTATTGTTCACCATACACATGTATGTCAAATAGCTCGTATATCTTTGGAACAATTTTATTCAAACTCATCAAAGCTTATGATTTGACACAAAAGATGTTTCCAGAATTGCTGCTCTAGAACAAATTATGGTGGTAACCGATTTTTTAAAAACTGAAGTGTTGCCGGAGTAAGTTTAAAATTATATATTGGATGGGAAATGCATTCGTTTGTGGTATTGTTTGCTTAAACGTTGGTTCTCCTTTGGTTACCATGGTTACCAAAAGAAAATATATGATAAGGCAAAATCTTTTCCAATCTGCTTTCTTTTAAAATCTAGGAATTCAACAGCAATTTGCGGGATTTGGATTAAATTGTACATTACAGCAAACGTGAGCACATGTATGAACGTATGACCATGGATGATACCACTTAAAATATCATTGGAAGATTAATTTTCAACATTTTAAACAAATTAAGTATTTTCAATCCAGTCAAGAGTAAGCTAATTGTATGGGGTGTTTTTTTCTCTTTTGCTCTCCTAAATTATGATTTATCAGTATTTCTTTCATTTTCTTTCTCTTCATCAACAAATATATTATGGCTAGTACACCTCCCCATCTAGATTTTGACATTTCTTTCGATTGATAATGGTTTTCTGCACTCGCTTCACTGATTTAACAATTTAAGTTCTTAGCATCAATGACTAGTCCTGGGACAAAACATTTGTATGATGCAGTTAATCTATGAAATATATTTTTCTATAATCAATCATTTTATTAACCAATAAAACGGCAACATTGTATAATCATGTATAATTTGTGTACTCTATTGTAAATCTAATCACTGTGTCGTGTTTATGTCATGTAGAATATTTACTTGTATGTTACAACCCTTGGGTTCTGAAAATTGGAATTTGACATGCTGATAAGATTTACTGTAAATATGGTTGTTTCGCGGTGTTATTTCGCGATTTCAATAGGCAAACTGTCCGCGCGCGGGGTTATTTTTGCGATAAATATATCTTTGCATAATCAGTGTATATTTTAGTATACATGTAATACGCGTATGTAAAATTTATGCGATATAATGACTTCCGCTAATTGAGTGTAAATTTCCAACTCGCGTAAATTTCTTTAGTTACAGTATACATAAGCACAAACCGGAAATCTAATTGGACAATGATGGAAACATTCCTTTGTTGATAATACTCTCACAGACAAACCTGGCTTTTTCTAACTTATTGTATTCTTGAAATCGATCAGAATTCACACAAAGAAATAAAAGTTTACGAAGAAGGTGTAACACGAAAGTAAATGAAAGATAAATATACATGTTGTATTACAGGCAGCATTTCAATTTCCCCATATGTACAGTTTAATCATTTGAATAATATACAGGCGCGTTTTGAAATAAATCAACTCAAGAATGTTTAGGTTTTTTCGGGGGAGGGGTTAAGTTTTTTTGAAATGATTAGTTTGCTGTAAATAATTCAAATACGCTTCGTCATACAATTGTTTTCGTCTGTTCCCCCCTGTTGTTCACTAACAAAAGTCATCAAAGAGGCCACCAACGACAATATCGGGGTTTAATTCTTGCTATTAACGAAATATGGTAGTACCCATCAAGTGCGTTCTGTCCCTAAGATAATGAAGTGTTACAATTCTATTAACAATATTTGTACATGATTTTTATTTAACAATTCAGGAACGATTTCCTGTAAGTCTGGTAAATGTGAGTGTAATGGAAACGAAGTTTACGGCGGATATGTAGTGGTGAAGGGCTCCATCCCAGTACAACTTATCCATCTCCCACAAGGAGTCCAGGGTACTGTCCACGTGAAGCCTATGGAATGTTACAGTACGTATTTCACATTAAACATAGATAAAATCAAATATTGTAAAAGTATGTGGTGTCAAATCTAACCTTAATCGTTGTCTTACCGGTACAAACATAGGTAAGCAGAAGGATATTAAGTCGCACATCAAGTTATATTGGTATATATTTATGAATCGATGCTAATTCTCAATCGGTAAACAAACTCGTCTAGATTGACCAAATTATATCAGTTATGCTGTGTATGCGTATGTCTTTCTGTGTTTCATATAGACGTATATAGAGACTGTCACGAGATTAAGACGAATAAAGCCATACTTCCTAAAAGGATCAACCCTGATAGCATATATGCTATAGACCCTGACGGAGCTGGCGGAGAGCCACCATTCCACGTGTACTGTGACTTTACCACAGATAAAAGAATAGGAATAACTCAGGTAAGTAACAGGTCACCTACAGTACAGTAAGTGGAATCATATAAAATGATAAATACAGAAATACAATTACGTCGGAAGAATATCAGAGTTCGAAAACTTGAAATTTAGGTCGCTTTACACAACACGAAGGCTGGTTGACCTATTTGGACCGGGATTCAAACGTCTTCCTGAATCATGCGTCGCATATATAACATATCCAGCTTCTGTGAAATGATTGCGAGTCTTTTTGATATGCGTTGTATACAGTACAGCATTATATATATATTTTTTTTTTCAAGAGTGGGATTGTGTTGCATCTTTACAATTGTGTTACTCAAAAATGAAAAAGAAAAAAAAGAAAAGAAAAAAAACTTACACGGGATTGAAACCCTTTGGAAGGTTTTGCGCATGCTTGCGTCTCAAATAAATCAGGTGGAAACGAATACATATCTGTTAAAAACACTGTTCTGTTGCATGTTTGCACAGCTGTTCAGAAATTAAACATAAGCTGTCACCCGGAGTGCAAGACCGACTTATATCTAACAGTAAAAGTTGACACATCACAGGAATGCAAAAAAAACCATGTTACAATCAATGTACAGAGGCCTTGCTATTCTTGTTACAATACAGTTTATCGAGTATTTTTTGTTTAGAAATCATATAATCGTATATGTTCGGTATGTAAAAACAACACTGGTACAGCACAGCAGGCCTAAAGTCTAGGAGGGAGTACATCCCGACAGTTTAAAAGAATATTGGAGAGATTTAAAGAGTCTGAAATAAACGAAATGCATAACTATTATCTGTAGTTTATAGAGAAAAGTATGAATTGATCGACAGTAATATTTCCGATGAAACGGAAGTAAACGTTTAAGTACCAGAATCAAAATTTTCCAGTAGAGTATGACTATTTTTAAATATTTGAATTATTCCTGTAACATTGCGTTCCTGTTTGATTTTTAGCTAATATACTCTTTGAATGTGTCATCAAGACATGATTTCTTATTTTACTCCAATTCCTGATACATTTGTTTGTCAATGTTGTCATACAAACATCAATATAAGCCCTTAAGGCTTCTGAAGGCGTGTCTTTGTATGTTGTAAGTTGTCGATCGTACTTTATACTTTACAAGCATGTCCTATATTTACAAAGTCCAAACATGTACTTGCACAAAATATGTCTTCCCATAGGAAAAGTGTTTCGAATTCGTATCTTTCCTGCCTTTGGAAAGTTATAAACTTTCTATAGATGCCATTTATGTGAAGAAATCAAAGTGTATGGAATTATCTTCTGAATGAACAACAAATGGAAGCAAGATGTAATCTTGTAAGCTGAAAACATACTGTTTAATATATAAAATACTATAATACTTCAGTTTTATTTGCATGTATTTTTCGTTGCGAACACGCAGGTACGTATCCGAATGAAAACATACAATGTATTATACTACCTATGTATACAGAACATACATATCATACTACTTAAAATCTGAAATTAGATAACTACAAGTGCATTCAAGTCTTGGGAAAGGTGTAATGAAAAGTTTCATATGTGCTAAGTTTAAAGAAAACTGCAAGCCACATTTTAATCTATTTAGATAGTGGAAAAGTTAAGAATATACACATGTAATTGACGTTTTTTTTTTTCTAGAATTAAATTATTATAAATTTTAGTGAATTATAGGTCAAGTGAAATTCACCATTCGCCAGTTAGGCTTCAAATTTTAGGCCTTTTGTATCACTAACGATTCCTGGAAGGACAAAAGAGCTGTATGATACAGTTTAATTCACTGATTGTTGGGTTCTACTGTATTTAAGTTGTATTTAAAGGTGTTATTTACTTGTGTGTCTTTTGTACAAACTTCGATCATGCAAACCTAATATTCAATTTGTAACGCAACGGATAGGAAGGTATTTATAATCAGTAATCTAGAAATTATGAAAAAAGAAATCTTCTGAAGTTTTTGAAGGACAGATCATGAGCGAACGACGAAAGGGACACCCGTCTGTTGCTACCACAAAACAAAAACTTCATTTCATTGCGTGAAAAAACATAAACCCGGGAAAGTGAAGAGGGGCCAAACGCAGAAAGGGTCATTTTTCAGTAAATATGCACATGACGTGTACAACACATTTCAAAGCAATGAAAAGCTTATCTTTATATGGAACCAGCAGTGTCTGCATCCGAAACATCTTGAATTCGAAGCGGAAGTACACCACCATTATAGATATATTGTACACATGCATTTATAAAATCGCAATGACCATGACATTGTGCCAATTTGTATAACACTATACATCTATAAGAAAACAAGATATTCCAGAGGGATTTTCATGCCTACAATCTGGTGATGTGGTGAAATTGATAGAGTTAGCCAATGCTGGGTAAAGACTAAAAGTCTGTACATTAAATATTAGATTATTTTTTCAAAATCATCTGTTCTGGTTTTCTAATGTGTACCACCTGCCTAATAATAGTTGACTTGTTTATTACGTCACGAAGATAAAAGCGATATTTCTGTAATGCTACACAACGAACGCTGCCAATGATACTCCGTTAACCACAGAAATAGTTCTCCTATAAGTACAGACACATATTAAAAGTACAGAGAAACACTGTATTCCTATACAGAATGACAATATATATACAGACATTGTACTATTTCAGGAATAAACATTCAACTCTATTACATAGATATTTTATCTTTCGTTATGGCACCAATAAGCCGATTGTCAAAAAACAAGTAAAAAAGTATATTTCAAGCAAAAGACATAACCATGGCTTTACCGTTAACAATTCCATACTCCGGGCGCTACAAACTTTGCTATGCCAATACAATACAAACGTTAAATGAATCAACAGGTCGAAGCCACCAAAAATAAATTATAAATATCTGACGATATCACTATCACAACTATCAATATCTATGTTCAATAATATAAAAAAAATATAACTGTTTTTGTGTAGATATTCATCAAATATGTGGTTGCAAGTGTGGAACGTGTTTTTCTTGATATATAAGGGATTTAGGATTAACATTCAAATATATGTAAAGTGTCCAAAGAATATATATTCATGTTTGATTGATCTAATAATATAGTGTTAAATCGGTCTTTAAAATGGCCTTTTTGTAAGGGCCAATGTTAGACAACAACAAATGAAGTCGCAGAATAACATGAATTTCCAAACTTGACCATACTTGAATATTAAATTGGTGACTTTTTATTAAGTTTTGAATCATGTGATATTGATCCTTACAGTATATCGTCCTTTCATAACATTGAAATATAACAAACCAATGCGTGAATCAACATTTATACATAAAATGGCTGATATAATCTTGTTCCCAGCACCAGAATAATTTTGCAATAACTTATCTTAAATGATCTTCATGTGGTTGGGATCACAATTTTTATTATTTGACTAGTTGCTGGTCCTCTGAAAGGAATTTTGCATTACTAAAATCTGACTGCAATAATCTTTACAAGATCTTGATAAAAATAGAAAACTAAATTAAATTGCTGAATCTCTGAATAAAGGATGAGTTCAGTTGTTCTATGAACAATGAGGTAAAAACAGGTCAGATATTTTGAAATCAGCATTCGACTTCTATTTTGAATACTATTTTGTTTAATTCACTTCATGAATGTGAAGTGTAACAGTGTCCATCCAATTTGTCTGCGCCATTGTCAAGTGTATAATCTTCTGTCACCATTTGAAATGCTTGTGTTTGAAACCGGGCTTCCAAAAGGAATCATAGAATAACCTTAAATTCAAAGTTGCCTTGTTATTGTCATAAGTTACAGTGTTAATTCAATGCTTTGGTGGATTCTGTAGGTTCTATAGAAATATATGTATAAATTTCAACTTCAGGCAAATACTTGCTTACAATTTCGAACTAATGCTATATATGACAATGGTTGTTCAAGGTGAACCAAACAAAGGAATGCGCATATGTAGTCATTTCAAGTATGTCTTACTTAAAGTCACTGAAAGATGATATAAAAACTAATAGTTTTTTTTTTTATCATATTGTAGGTAGATAATTCTATTGATGGCCAGATAGTTGCGACAGGTCCAGAGTACTACCTGCATATAAAATTATCATGTAGTACTATGTAGGTGAATAATTCTTTTGATGGCCAGAATGGTGTGACTTGGTACCAGACACCATCTTAATAAAATTATTTTGTTGTAGGTGGATCATTCTAACGAAGGCCATATTGTTGTCACTGGATCTCGTACCCCGTCTGAATACACGGTTCCTATTGAATACCCCGATGTAACATCACAACAAATACACGAACTTACAAATATCTCTAACTTTTGCTACCAAGTACGTAAAAGATTTTCTCTTAAAATATGAAATAGTAAGTACTGTTTATCGTGCGTTTTGCTTTATCAGTAATACTGCTTTATCCAATCTGTCCATGGAGATAGTTTTGACGTATGTACTATAGTACGTCTGATTTCTGTCATAGGAAGCTTTCTTGAAAATTAAAACTTTAATATCTGTATTAATACAAAGGATATTTTCTTAACATACACGTTAAATGGTCTTAATTAATAAAGTTATAAATCTGCACATGTATATTTGCATTGACTTTATGATTGATTACGTAAGAATGTAAGCAGTCATAAATGTTTTATATAAAAAAGAAATAACCATAGATATGTGTGTTTTGATGACAGGGAATTCAATATGAGTGTAGGAACATACCTAGTTTGCGCTTGACCATGTTTGAAGGGGAGCAGACTCAAAGCGTCGGAACTGGTTACGAAAGTACGGACGGTTGTCCCTGTACACTAACTGGCAATTGTCCTGCTAACCACATCTGTCGATGTGATGCTAAAGGTAGGGCGACCTACAACAGGAATCTAAAGATAGCATGATGATAGTATGCGTGACGCAAACGATAAAACATACTATCATACTGTAGAATCAGTATTCCTGTGCTGGATAGATTGTGTTGATATCTTTGGTACTCAACGTAAATCCATTATTTCTCCATCTGCAAACAAGAAATTTTGGCATTTTTATTGTTTTATCATTTTAAGCATCAACAATTATATGATTCTCAGTATCTTGTGCTAAAAATCAAGTCAGATTTGACACTTAAGGAAATACTGTTTGATTGGCGGCAAGAATCGATTTGTTATTGACATAATTATTTCTGTCTGAAATAGGGTCAATGGTAGCCGATGAGTACGGCTGGGTTCTTCAAAAGGACGTGTTGCCTATAGAGGAAGTAAATTTTGGTCCTCCACAATCAAACAACGAACAAGGCTCCGCCTCCATCAGCTCCGTACGATGTGGACCCACGACGTTTGGTAAGCTATCGTGTTGTGTTCACATTGAGTCTTATAATAATACAGCGAAATATATTCATAATAAATACATATTCATAGAGCTAGGAAAACAATAATTTGAGAGACTTGTCACTGTTTAAGTTCTTTTACCTCGTATACCCGTGGTCAGATTACGCTAGGAAACTAAGGCAAATAAGTAACGTTTCATTTCAGAACATGTTATCGTCGAGACCTTTTAGAAAACGGATCATTGACCGTGTTCATTTTTTTTCTTATACGATTCGATTCGACGTTTTCTCAAGTGATGTTGTGTTTGCTTGTCACATTTAAGACAGAATTAGACTGAAGATCGTTTCAGTATCCTGGAACTAGAATTTCTGATACGTTGTCTGATACTCTTACCAACTTACTCACAAATGTCTAGATTTGTGATAAAATGTATATGTTTTCAATGAACACATTGAACAGATATACCGAAAACCTGTGAAGAGGCTTACACCATGGGATTCAAGTCTGGAGATATCCTGATCCAACCTTTAGAATCTGTGACTCCTTTCTTTGTTGTCTGTGATATGGAAATACTTCCAGGACACGGTGAGTATACGCACCGACATATCGACATACCAAATGTTCAGTGACAACAGACAACACGAATGTTTAGTGACATCAGACCAAATGAATGTTTAATGAGAACAGACCACACGAAGGTTTAGTTACAGAGGACCAAATGAATGTTTAGTGACAACAGACAACACGAATGTTTAGTGACAGCAGACACACGAATGTTAAGTTACAAAGGACCAAATTAATGTTTAGTGACATCAGACCAAATGAATGTTTAGTGACAACAGACAACACGAATGTTTAGATACAGAGGACCAAATGAATGTTTAGTGACAACAGACACACGAATGTTAAGTTACAAAGGACCAAATTAATGTTTAATGACATCAGACCAAATGAATGTTTAGTGACAACAGACAACACGAATGTTTAGATACAGAGGACCAAATGAATGTTTAGTGACAACAGACACACGAATGTTAAGTTACAAAGGACCAAATTAATGTTTAGTGACAACAGACCAAATGAATGTTTAGTGACAACAGACCAAATGAATGTTTAGTGACAACAGACAACACGAATGTTTAGATACAAAGGACCAAATGAATGTTTAGTGACAACAGACCAAATGAATGTTTAGTGACAACAGACAACACGAAGGTTTAGTTACAGAGGACCAAATGAATGTTTAGTGACAACAGACCAAATGAATGTTTAGTGACAACAGACAACACGAATGTTTAGATACAGAGGACCAAATGAATGTTTAGTGACAACAGACAACACGAATGTTTAGATACAGAGGACCAAATGAATGTTTAGTGACAACAGACCAAATGAATGTTTAGTGAGAACAGACCACACGAATGTTTAGCATACTATAACGTCATTGTTACACACGAATTCCTCAAAGAACAAGGTTCAATTACTGATTATTGATTTTTGATTTGCATTCAATTGTAGGTGTCACTGTAGTTGGGAATGACAAAGACGATGCACCTATCGAGCTTGATCTCACAAACGATACGACCATTCATGTCACATATAATAATGTTACTACCACACAGGTCGAAGCGTTGACGGAGGTTTCCGCATATTGTATTCAACCAGTCAAATACGACTGTTTCGGAACACAGGTAATGACATCCTGATTAGTTAATAATGAAACATATTATGTCACTTAGAATAAATATTAGGAACAAATTAGAACTGATACTAAATCATATCAAGTTTGTCTTTGACACCAGATTGACCTGTCTAGTTGTACAATGTTTGTTCTGGATATTTCAAATTTTCAAATCCACATGTCCACCACAAGAAGAGATTTTTCAAGATATTTCATTTTTATTTCATATCCTTTGCTTATCACACAACCTCATAGTTAGTGTGAAGATTTGTTTAGATGAAAAGTGAAAATTATGAACTTAAACATGTAAACGGAATGTTTTACTTTCACTGGATTATACGGGGACACGACATAAATATTAATATTCTTGTTTTTGTTTGCGGCATTGTTATCCAATCACTGTATATATTATTTTCAATAGTTTCTGGGATATAACAAATTCTTCTGGAACGGACAAGATAACCAAGAATTCCGTTATTGGGCAAACAGTGATAATACAAATCAGGAGTGTTCATGTGGGACAGATAACAAATGTGGAGGTAACCGAACAGAAATCGAATTAATACCCAGGTATGTTCCTGTATCCTGCAAGATATATCAGTTCTCAACGTTCAGCAGGAACGTAAATTTCTTTGTAATTTTATCATTATACTACCTGAATTGTTTACATATGTAAGAAATTCAATTATTTAAATTATCTCTATGAAACAATTTATCAAATTGCAGAATTCCAATCAGATCAATATCGCATCGTTTAATCTAAGAAACGAAGCTGAACTTTGTAAATATTTAGTGGAAATAAGACGGGCTTCATATCAACTTAAACAGAAAAGTTGATTGTTGTGATTGTAAGTTTCAAATGAAATTTGAACGAGTTGAAAGAAATGTAATTTGATATGTATATCATTACGTATGTTGTACATTACAGAAAGTGCAGCTGTGATTCAATGGAAAGCGAATGGAGAAAAGACGGTGGAGTATTCTCAAGAAAAGATGATCTGCCAGTCAGATCTATGACATTCCTTAAAAACAATAATGCCGATGCTAAAGGAAAAGTTACATTTGGCAAATTATATTGTTCACAAGTACAGTACAGTAAGTATTTAATATTGCTATGTATGTACATGGAATTAGCCGATAGAATGTAACGCTGACGATCATCAGTTTGCATCATTTCACACTTATTCCTTGTAACTTTTATCATTTAAAAAGCAAATTATCAAATATTATAACTCAATTTCAATTTGATGTCCTAGATCCAAATGAATGTACAATGGATGTCCATGATTGTCATGACCTTGCTGAGTGTGAAGACACAACAAGGGGATTTGAATGTCACTGTCCGAAGGGAGTACAAGGCATCAAACGAGATCCTCTTGTAGCAAACGGTCGAAACTGCTATGGTAAGTTTAAGAATGATAATTAACACAAAAAATAGCAATCAATGTAAAAATAAGTTTACTATATTTATAAACAGATTTTGCAAATACTGGTGGCGGGCACAATGTCCGTTACCTCCCTTGGACCTAATATGATATCGCCTAGAGCTATTAACCCCATAGTGCCAAAGAGCAAGGTGCTGAAAACCTATGGCTAAAAACCCGAAGCTAACATAGGTTGGAAATATTGTTGATTGGAAGCTGATGGGTAACATTTCTTAATCATTCACGTGTCCAGCAATAAGCGAGGTTTAGAGTTATATCACTTAGGACTGAAATTCGACAAACTGTCTTACCATGGCCTGTACAGAGTTGATGTATGCAGTCCTACCCTATGTTCTGGATTTGGATTGACCAATTTGGAGCATATAGCAGCAGACTGGCACGCTAACCCTAGGTGATTGAGTTGCATGTACCGGTTTGGGGTGTATGACAGCTGGTATCATTAATTATCCATGATATAAGTTTTACATGGTGCCAGCCTACTGCCGTAGGCCCAAAAACGCAGCTGCAGTTGACCATGGGCCAACCAAGGGGAAACCGATAAAGAAACAGACATCCAATAAGATAATGGTGGTTTGAAGGCAGATGGCATGACTGTATGATCATGTGACCAAGCTCAGACTTCGGATTGGATTCTTGGCTGTCTTACCTTGCAAGCAAGAATATGTAATTTAGGTGACAGGAGGGGGACCTCTTTTCATTAAATAGATCGTAACCTTGTGTCAGACCGGTCAGAGAGATAAGGGTAATTAGAATTGTGTGCAATTAACAAACAGGTGCTCTAATAAACGGGAGCATAAATCTCCCGACAATTCAACTCTGCACGTGTTTGTAAGTAACTGAGTTGAGAAGACAGGCAGGCCCTTAAATGCTGTGTAAATCTGCCTTATATTTCTTATTAGACTATTTTGATAAGATTAGATTACTTTGTAAATGTACACTAGGTTCAAACATACACACTTATCATATATTGGACTTTTGTCAGCTGTATTTAGGAAAACAAAATAATGACAAATCAACAGGGTATATAGGAATATAGGAAACTAAACAGTCGATAGGAAAGCACATTTGCAGAGCCGGAAGTTCGGTATCATCAAACGGACGAGCTCGAAAAGGCATTCCAAAAGTATAAGAAAAAGTTCAGAAATCACTGTCTCTTATGAATAGATAAGTTATCAAATCTCAAAATGCATGCTACTTGATCAAGTAAATAAAGTAATCAACAAGTTTTGCTGGGTATCAAAATGTCAAAATGTCTTATACCATTGACCAGGAATGCCCCTATTGTTCGGTATTTTAAATCCAATGTATTTAGTTTTTTCCCGAGAGATTCCGAAAAAGTTAAAATGGGTTCATATCCGATGACTTCACTCGCCAAGGGAACGTTTCCATCTCGTCTTGTCCAGTAGGCAGGCGCTGTGTGGTTTGACATTATCATCCATTTAGATAGGCCGATCAGCCAATGTGTGGGCTTCGAAATGCGTATAACTTAAGGTCAAAGGATTCGATCATGGTACTTCTGTCGATCACTGACATGCAAGCGAAGCTCATAGTGTGGAGCAAAGCATTTCCAAACAGTAACACCACCACCACCAATGCCAACACCATCATCATCACCACCATCACCACCACCCCCGCCGCCAAAACATTATGTTGTGCACAGAATGTGATTCTAATGGTGTCTTATTTCTTGGACTTCAAATACGGAAACAGTAGTCTGTCTCAAGTAAAAAACGGCTGTTATCAGACCAGTTGACTCATCGTCCAGACCTATCTTTCATTTCCAGTGATCCTGTGCCCAATTTCAAATCTTGCTTGTTTGTGCCTTCCATTGCACAGAAGACGTTTTACTGGTCAGCGAGTTCGAAGTCGCCCATTGATCAAGAATTTATTGACGCCGTTCAATAGGATATACTACTTCAAAGCAATTAATAGTGAATGCTACATATACTGCATCCCAGAATTTATTCACCTAATAACAGTAAATGTGTATAAACAAACAAACAGATATGTACACAAAGTGTTCAGCAAATTTCAAGTTATTACTGCATGCTATTTTATTAAGATATAATTTAAACATTGTGATTAATTTGGTTTTACAATTTTTGCAGATTTGCCTTTCTGTTACATTTGTCATCTCCACAGAGATAATTAATACACATACATCTTTTCTTTTTAAAACGCATGTTAATAGAATTAAAATAAACTTTTCTTATAATTTTGTAAAATTACTGTTCCGTTGAGTTACGGCAAATCATTCATATTTTGGATGGAATTTATTTTGGCTAGGAGACACAATTGCAAATGAAAATCCTTTGCGATTATTGGAACAAATATAACTCTTGATGACATCCAATGTGAATACAGATATCAAATTCTTAAAGAGTCCATGTCTCTAATACTTTATCATTTTTTTCTAGTTCAGCGTTCACAAAATTATTTATTCGTGAATTTGTCTGATGAGGCAAGCTTACGAAATGAATTGCTCTTGTAATGGAACTGGTTTATGTAGTACATGTTGTCGGGGAACTTGAGGTCATTGCACACCATGTCAATAGGACTTTAATATTGAAATGCATTTTGGTATTATATATGATCAGAATATTGAATGGAAGTTTCTGTAATTCTTTAATCATCCTCGCTTGCATATCGCTATTTGTGAACCAGACGATGACGAATGTGGCCTTGGAGTTTGCCAGCCTGATCGTGCAGATTGTACAAACACTTTCGGGTCATTCAACTGCACTTGTCACGAAGGATACGTTATGGCTGAAGGGTCAAGAACGATCTGTGAAGGTAAGGATTACTGTACTGAGTTAGAGTTACATAGATGTTCTAAATTCCTCGTCTTTTGTAGATGCCTTTTTATTTGGAAACGTTACTCTTGCCCATCCCCATCAACCCTTGCCCTGTCCCGTCGCGCCGAATGTACCGTTTCGGTAAAGAACGTTCTACATCTGACCAGACGCTGGATTGCATAAGAGCGGGCAATGCATGTCTTACCGACATTTTTCTGAATATCTGAATGAATCATTATTTTAAATACGTCGGTACTATTATACAAAACATAATCACATTATTATTATTACATTCTTAACGGCCCGTCAACACATAAAAGGTCAACATAATAGATCAACCTATTACATCGTTTGGAGTTTTGCGTTATTATCTTACAGTGTTTGTGGTCCAATCTCATTCTTATGATAAAAGCTATCGAAATCCAAATTTATGTATCTGATAAAAACATGAAGTACTCTCTTTTCGACTATACAGACATCAATGAGTGTGACAACCCCGATGCTTGCTCACCTTATGCTGAATGCTTTAACAGACCCGGGGACTTTGTATGTCGATGCAAGCGTGGATTCAGAGGAGACGGATTTAACTGTACCTGTAAGTTGTAGTTTCAATAAGTCAATTGATTCAATATGATAGAAAAGAATATCAATAAGAAAGGCCCACACAAAATCGGATAATTCACTGTTAATAATACCGCGACAGGTAACTATAATTTAAGCATAAGTGCCGCAGTTGCTGTAATTTTAATATTCTTTTCGATACTTCTGAAATAAAACAATATCTCTATGTAAATTAAAATATATACAAAATTGTGGAAGCAAATGAATAAATAAAAAATAACAATAATAATCACTGATATTTATTCTAAATACTTCATTAAAGATACACTGTCTTTATTTCTTCGTCCTTTAAAGAAGTTTATTTCAATACATTCTGCTATTTTTTTGTTGGTTATTTTTCATATTGTAAGTTCAACTGAAAAACAGATTCAATCATTTTTTCTAGACAAACGATGTTATACATTCCGTGATTTTTATGTGTGTATTTCCACAGCTATAGGAATATGCACGTGTTTCGGAGATCCGCATTGTCAGTCATTTGACGGGAAATGGCTCCATTTCCAAGGTGATTGCCAGTATACTATGGCAACTGATGGATGTCAAGGAAAACCACCAACATTTGAAATTAGATCAAAACACTGGAATCAGAACATTCCCGGATTAAAAGGCGCCACTTGGGTGGAAGAAATTGAACTCCTACTCCATCTAGGAGGGGAAAATACGGTGATTTATTCATTAAAATTGTCTTTAAACCAACATAAATGTAAAAACATTTATCTTCTTATTGATTATGCGTATCGTAAACAAGTTACGTTTCTGTGCTATCTCGATATAAATAATCGATTTTCAAAGTCCATCTTGACCACTTATTTTTCTTGCTTACGTTGTAACTTGTTTCTACCGCGACTTACTCAAGCAGGGATGTATTTGGTTTACAACTGATGTGTGTTTTATGTGAACGTTCATAAAAGACGCAAAATATTACATGTCCAGTTGGTTAAACAAATGCGTAAGGTTTCCGTTTATAATCATAGACTGAAATATTTAAGGATATAGAAAAGATGTTCATATAACACCACCATTAAAAGATTTGAATGTGACGTTTCTATGAATATAGACGATCACTTTCATCAGACAAATGATCAGTGTGGAGCGCTCTTACACTGACGCACGTAGTGTACGAGATAATGATGAATCGACTACCTGTTTCGACTGGACCATAATTCCACATACCTCAAGGTCGAAAATAGTGTGATGTGATGGTAAATAGCTTATAGAAAAAATACCCAATATGGTAACAATGCACTGCAATCAATTGGGATACGTCTTGTTTTATACTTGGTCATTGATGTGTGAGAGTCGTCCCTGTTTAGTACTGGCTTGGTGCAGCGTATGCAGATGACTTCCTTGACCAGCTGACTGAGAAGGTTGTTTTTCATGTCGACTGTTTCGGAATTTTCCTAATCCATGATATGGCTTTGCTATGTGAATGTGCCGATTTATTGATCTGTGACTGAGAATGTTTTCGCTCTGATCAAATTATTTTTTTCTTGGAATTCTGTGTCTTTCTGATGTTCATTAAGTCGGACTTCGAATCTCCTACCATTTTCTCCGATATATTAAGCGTTGCAGTTCTTGCATTCGATTTTGAAGATATTTTCTTTGTGGTTATCTTTCTGAGAGTCTTGTGAGGATTCATGACTGTGGCAATACCATTATCACGGTCATCCTCTGATTGTTTCCTGACAGGATTTCGATATTAGGGATGATTACTTCATTTTTCTTTCCTGTTTTCGTCTTGTAGTCTTTATGCTTTCATCAAATTCGTTAACTTTCTAGATTGTATGTACATAATTCAACGAAAATAAACTGACATTATTCATAAAGTTATACACGTGATACATCTGTGCAACATTTGGACGTGATGTCACTTAACACCAACTCAGTAATCTATTTAGTGTATCATGTATACCATTATGAGAACGAAATTCCCTAGGCCTAGATGTGAATATATTTCTCAATTAGCTGGAATTTATGAACCAAACCTGCACATTATCAATCGGATGAGTTAACGGGTGAAGTATCGCACTAGACAAAAAGGTACAAATTCTGTATACCTTTTTAGATTTTAGTAATCATTGATTACACTCCAGACTACAATGAAACTCTTTACCAGTCTGTTGTGGGTTCAGGTAGTTCGTTGTATATACTAAACAAAAAAAGAAAGGTAACACTACTTTATTCGGTAATTAATTAATTAACCCCTTCATAAATCCTTACCAATCATATACGAATAAAGTAATTGATCAATTCTGATAAAACTGCAGTCATGGTTCATTATAAAACTTTGCGTTCAGTTGATTTCATTCGACTGTAAAGGACGTTGGGGTCAATTTCAAAGGTAACAACATTAGTAACGGGTATGGCCACCGTTTGCGAATTAAACAGCATTGCACTTCCGCCAAAGCGGTCCCGTTCTGCGACGCAGCAGTTCGCAAAACGCTCCCCTCGTCGCCTCCACACTCTGCGCTTTCCGTCACCGTGTTGCAGGCAAAACCTGGACTCGTCTGAAAACAGAACAATGTTCCATTGTCGTAAGGCCCAACGACGGTGAACACGGGTCCAGTTACGCCGATTATTACGGTGATGTCGCAACAAATTGGGTCCAGTGTAGGGACGCCGCGCTTTCAAATGGTAGGCCCTGAACCTGTTGCGGACTGTTTGGGGAGACACACGACGCCCAAACAATGTCCTTGTAGTCTCTACTACGGTTACAAATCGATTGCGCAAGTGTATCAATCGTATACGACGGTCATCCCTGGCGGTCGTTTTACGGGGTCGGCCGTTTCGGGGACGATCGGATGTTGACCCAGTTTGGTTTAAACGACTTATCAACTGGCAAATTGTCTTAACACTGCAACCAAAATGCCGTGCAACTCGACGGCGAGATTCCTCAACATGGATCATGCCTACAGCCCTTTCTCTCGGTACTTGTGACAGCCGGGGCATAAGGATAAAGTTGATAGATAGCAAGATTCGGTGATTTCTAAGTCCTAAGGATCTAAGGAACAGTTGCCATTTTGAATGTTTATGAAATTCAAGCGAAGATACAAGTTAGTCGCAGAAAACCTCGTGCAGCTCATTTGCTAATACAGACTTTCACGCTTGAATGATTTGGTAACCCCCTTGGATTTTGTAATGTAAAACATTACCATTTTCTAATATTGCACAAACGTCATTTTGTTTTCACTCATTTACAGGTATTCGCCAAGGAAACATGTTAACCTTTCTTTTTTTGTTGAGTGTATATCAATATTCTTTTCTTCACTTTTTGTATCATTACATTTTCAGACGGTAACTCTAAAGCAGGGCGGCAAAGTCTGGTATAATGGACAATTATTTTCAATACCAAGTAGACCAGACGAACACACCGACATCCGTCGGTTTGGTAACTGGATTGTAAGTATCTATATGCATAAAACAATGCTCATTTCACAATTATGTCAGCGTATCATCCTATCAATCGTTATGTTTAAATTAATGAGATAAAGTTATCTGTAGCAGTGTGATATCTCTAAATATAGATATTCAGATAGAAAAATAAACAAGATTACGATAATTTTGTTTGGAATAATTATAAAGACTGCCGTTATATTTCTTGAGTGCGGTTATTTGAACAACTTAACACTTTACTTTAAAATGTGTAGAAGCAAGAGCACTTTATGAACCGATCGAAAACAGGAACTACAATCGATGGCTGGTTTTGTTTGTCTGTTTTTTCATCGGAAATATGTTAGTTTACAAATAACTATATTCTTGAGTGCGTACACGGTCGCAAATGTAAGGAATCGAGTTATATAGAAGCTCTCTCTAGCCGAGCGGTATATTGCTGCTTGCATTAACACACACACATATATATATCTAAAGATGTTATAATCGACAATTTTGGTAGCTGGTCATCTTCTTGAGCTATCAACTAATAACAAATGTTTAAAAGTAATGATGCCTCATTGTAAAAAAAATATTGTCCTGTCGGTTTTAACGAGACAAATGTGATACCTTACTTATGGTGTTAATGACCCAGATTTTATAGCGTAAATGTCAGAGGTAACTTGGGTTTCCTATCTCTATATTCGAATGTTATAATCAATACCCAAATTATCAATACCCGGTTTTGCTTAATCACTGTCAAAATTGATGTAAGTAGAGCCATATCCTTAATTTTAAAAAACCAAAATCCGAAAAGTTTGGTTAAAATTATTAAAAAAAAAAAAAAAAAAAAAAAATCAGTGTTGTAGAATACCTCTCATGGCTGACTTTAAGATTAATATGTTAATGTTATATATCGGGTATATGAATGCGTTTGCTTCCTTCATATACTTTTAGCAAGTCTATACCAGTATCGGTGTCCGTGTAAACTGGGACGGATCTAAGGCGGTGGAAGTAATGGTTCCTCAAAGTTACCTTGGCAGCACTTGTGGTCTTTGTGGCAACTACAACATGAACCCACATGACGACTGGAAGACTGGTGATAGATGTACAGGAGACATAGTAAGTGCTTTAATACTCACGCCTAGAGAACACTTGATACTGTTTTCTGAATGCTTCTAAATGCATGATATTGTATATGGCATTTTAAAAGCATTTTCTATAACAAAGTGATGTCTGTTAAGATAAAACATATTTAGAGGTTGAGGAGACTACACACGTTTTTAAACTACTTCAAAGTGATTTGTGACCAATATGTTTCGAGTGTTAACACTTAGATGAATATCATATTTGACATATGAACGTACGCTAAAATTCGACGATGTGTACTTCTCTGTTATTATGGTGTAAGTTGTAATCATTTTGTAATATTCTACAGACAAACAATCCTAATATCTTTGGAAATTCTTACGTGGTACCCGAATACAAAGATAAGAACCCACATTGTGATGCTGACTGCAATGCGCCAGAGCCACCGGAAGAGTGTACAGATATGGAGAGAAAGGAAGCTGCCGACTATTGTAACAAAATTTTCCTTAGTGAGCAATTCAAGGTAATATTGTTTATACTCGTGACATACTGCAAGCATAATAGGTTACACATTGTAACCGGAATCTATTTTTGATATACGAATTCTAAAAAGCTACTATTTGTAACACATTTTTTTTTTATGTTTTTCTAGTCCCTCTTCAGTTTAATTTACATTTAAAAACGAAATAATGATCTTTCTGTTACGTACTTTGGGACAGGTAATATTTTACTTCTGTTTGTTTATACCAATATTTAAATAACACAAAATTGCTACTGAAAGTATGGACTACTTCAGTGTTGCCTTATTTTATTTTTCCAACGTTAATGATATGTTTACTAAAATGTTTTTGGTTTCCATACTTTAAATATTTACCACTTGACAGGTGTGTGTGCAAGCGATACCTAAAACTACACTAGACGGTTTTATAGAAGCCTGTGTTTCTGACTTGTGTCTAGTGAAACAAGATTTCGATGTGATTGTGTGCAGTCATGCTACCAGTATGGTTAAAGAATGTTCCGATAATTATGGCTATGTTGTCACCGACTGGCGATCAGTCGATTTCTGTGGTGAGTACTCGTGTATTATATATATTTCTATCACAATAAATCGATGCTACTTAACTCCAAATGTGTCTATTTCTCATTACAAACTTTCCTTGAAGCAATAGCCCTGTGTATTACTTGTTATGATTTCTAATTATAATATTTCCAATGTTTCTGATATGGTACGTTTTGCATACTTATCGCAGTTCAAATAATTACGTCCTAACACATTTAGTTAACAAAACGCACTAGGTTGCTTCATCGTCTGAACAACTAGTTTAATATTGTGGTAGAAATAGTCCACATATACTGATGGTTGTGTTGTGACTGTAGGTGTCGAGCCGACATCCTCGGCTAATGTAAACTCATTCCGAAGGTGGTAAGCGACAGCCCGGCACAACAGTTAGCATAGTGTACATTGGGCAAGCTATAGAAACGGATGTGTTTTTACTCTGTTATAGTCTGACCATATATTACACCTGCCGTTCATAGCTTATAACAGACAGATATATATACATAAATATCAAATATCAGTAGTTGTTGCATACATTATTCTTCCAATCTCGTTAGTAACTTTTTCAAGTCATATTTGTAACTTAGAAATATGCAAACTCTAGTGAAAGAAAACAATATGTACAACACTCGTTGTGTGGCCTCTATTCGTGTCATTTCAGGACATTATCGCAAGACTTACGGATGTATTCAACAACAAACATCAAATGTTATAATGTCGTATAGTAAGCGAATAAATATATGTGTTATATTTTCTGATTTTCTTGTGTATTTTCTCAGATATACAATGCGGTGTGAATATGCAATATTTATACTGTGGATACCCAGTAATAGAGGGAACCTGCTATGACGTAGAAAGTCCTAACCCTCTTCCTGTTGTGAATGACACATGTCGTGAAGGTTGTTTCTGTATGGATGGCTACTTCATGGATGCTTCCGGTACAGAATGCGTTCTGCAAGAAGACTGTGGTTGCTTTTACAAAGGACACTATTACCAGGTGACTATAACATTTAAGCCAAGTCGAGTGCGTCAGTTAAAATATCAACGCCAAATCTGGTTAAATACTTTATTTGCTAAGACATTACAATGTACGAGTTCATGCAGTTGTTATTTTTCCATTAAATTCAGGATGACATGGGATCTTTAAACATTTTATGAACATTTTGACATTTTCAAAACATTGTTTGAAGATAGTGGAACTTTCTAAATTTGCCTATTGAGAGTAGAAATGCTATCACCTTAATGATATCTATGTTATGCTGATAGTCAAAGACTTGTTCGTTGATATGGAATCTACGGTGGTTAAAAGCTCTCATTTTTGGTCGGATAGGTATTTGTAAATTTGTTGATTTAGAATAGCGCTGCAACTTTGTCCTCACAGTAATCAAAGAAATATTCTTGTGATTTGTCAAACGGAAAGTTTTAAAAAAACGCTCGTTTGACATTTCCAACAATCGTTGAGTATATATTGTATTACAAAACCCTCCGATTTCAACAAATAAATGAATAAATACAAATTTAAATGCATTATAATCGACAGGAAAATTAGATATTCTGAAAATGCAACGAGAAGAGTATAACGGCATCATGTAATTACGTCCTGTAAAAATAAGGAATTTCAAAACAAATTGCCATTCAAAATATATCAATCTGACCTGTCTCAATAAATCTACATCTCTGAAGTGATAAAGAACGTTTCCAATATTGTTTAATCTACAATTAAATATTAATTAATTTTAAACATTTTTTAACAACTTGGGCCCGAATGTTATACATAATAAGTAATTACCAATCTTAAGATAATATACAACAAAACTCACTCGTCTTTTGTATTTCGTTCTGATTCGATATTCCAATCAAATTAAGTTTATTTTAACCTTTTTGCTGAGGAGACTAAGAAGCATTTGATATTAATATGTGAATATGTATTTGATATTTAGATAAAAACAGACTGTAAAACTCTTTTGACAGGTTGGAGAACAACTTGTTACCGACGGCTGTAAAGAGACGTGGACATGCCAAGAGACACACGACTTTTCCAAGGAAAAGTTAAAATGTCCGGACTTGTCTGAGTGTAAGCTATACAAAGGAATATACGGATGTCATTGTGATATTGGCTATATAATGGTGAACGGCGAGTGCATTTGTAAGTATTGATTTTTACTTTTCTTTTGACCAATTTATACAGATGAACATAAGAACTGGTTCCGAAAGACTTTAATGCATCTAAATTAATTGTGTAGACCTCTATCTTTCACCGAAATTTGTTTTAAAATGTGTTTAAGTCGGGTTAAGTGTCTTATCAAGTAATTTTGTTCCTAATTTAGTCACTAAGACTCTGTATTTAACAGTGGACTTTACAAATGTTATCAAAAATTAGAAAAAAAATAATCTGAAGAAACACCGGCAAATTGGAGTGGAGAAAAGACCTTATCTGAAGTAAATTCTTCTTGTATAGCATAATTGACAGTTTAATTTTCAACTCTGCTATTTCTAATCATACAAAGTTGATCCCTGTGGTTCGGAGCCATGTAAAGATTTCCCTGATGCCGAGTGTAAGATGGTTGGAGAGAGTTACGTATGTCAGTGTAAGATGGGCTTCACGGGAGATTGCAGAAACTGTGAAGGTAAGTCTTTTCAAGATAATGCAGACTATTCTTATATTAATGCTTTAATACAATAACGTTGTATAATTGAAATATAATTCACGTTAATAAAACGTATCGTATACTACACAATTTAATATATAAACTAGACGTAGACGGGCTCAGACGAGATCCCAAGGAACAATTTTACTTATTTTGTTACCGTCTGTGGTATTAATTGCATGCAATGGCATATTAAAATGCCACTGTTTTTTCAACTTGATTAAATTAATTTTCTTCGCCACCACCAAACTAGTATTGAATTCTAGAGGTTACAAAAAACTTTTAAAAAAACCCTTTATACCTGATATTGCTTACATGAAAATTGCCCACGTGCGATAATTCAAAAAGCAGGTTTTCACAATATAACATCATCGGTGGGTGAATATTTATAATTATGTTTTGTAAAAATGCATAATCAGATGCATTATAAGCAAATGGAAAGACTTGATATTACAACAATAAGAAATTGATTCCTCGACTTTCCTCTTGCTGATTTGCAAAATGAAATCATTAAAAATATGTGCTACTTGAGTAATACCGAATTGTCTTTCTGCATATTTACCGGACATTTTGGAGATGAGATGATAATTGATGTGGTTTTTATTGTTTTCCTTTTTGTTTGTTTGTTTTTTGTTTTGTTTTTGGTTATCATTAACTTTTTACAAACTATGTATGAATATATGAGATGAGGAAAACAACGTATTTACTTTCACGTGTTTAAGGTTCACTTCTTTATCGAGAGCTTCCATACTTAATCTAAATCCATTCATAGAAAAGTACTGATGATCGAGACAGCATTAAGTCAGTGTGGAATATATACCACTATCGAATGCTTTTTCAGTTTATCAGTGATATCGGACGCTATTTTTTTAATCTAGCACCAGGTAGCACATAAAATGTTCTTGTTTCATCCCTCTCATGTGTGAAAGTATTTTATGTGTCCTTGTTATTTGGTGATTTTAGATATTGATGAATGCAAGACAAGGACACACAATTGCACCAGGTATGCTGTCTGTACAAACACTCCTGGTTCTTATACTTGCACATGTCGTCCAGGGTACAAAAAGAATGGCGATAAATGTGACGGTAGGTATAAATATTAGTGTATATATGAACATTATAAAATAATAGAGGTAGATTCAATTTGCACAAGTTTTTTCTTTTTTGAATTGCGATTTTTCAGTCAAAGCAATCGTTTTATTGCAAGCACATTCATAAATAAGGGCTTTTGTTCGACAGCAAACCAGGAATTTATATATTCTGAGCCAGAGCCAATTAATGATGTCAATCTTGATGACAAAAAAAAGGAACGGGATATTGCAAATACATCCTGAATTAATCAGGACTTTTAAATTATTCCACAACACATTTATTTTTACTGAATTCAGTGAATGCGTTTCGAGCTCGTTAGTGTGTTTTGTGTTTTCTTTGATATTAACTCTGTTCCTCTGATACAATAATCAGATAAAAAAACGTATACGAATTACACGGGAATGTCGCAAAAACAACAGAAACAAGCTCACCTATTTCAAACACCTGGTCATATCCTTTTTCTGTGTAGTTTGTTTTCATACTGATATTTTCTTGTCTTTAGATATCAATGAATGTCACATTGATGCACTTCATGATTGCCCTCCTGGGACGAAATGTTACAACACCATCGGAGGATACATGTGCCAGACATGCAATGGTTAGTCAAACTGATAATTTCATTAATAAATTAATAACAGGAGGTTGATAAAATTATGTACTTGAATTCTATACAAAATCTTCTACATTAGCAAAATACATGTAAGTTATGCTTTGAATGTTTGCTGAGTTTATTCCTTTTCGTGTGTTGAAATTCATCGAAGAGTTAAACAAAAATATAAATTATTATAATAATATATGAGATAGGGATATTTACACTATACAAATGATGATATGTAATATTTCAGATAATACTCCTGGCAAAAAATGCTGCCATTGTACCGGTTCACGTTGTAGGGAGAACGGTGAGGTAAGTTATGTTTTTTCATATTGCAGTCATCGAAATGTCACACATTTCACAATAGATATAGTTGTTTGAAAAATTAATATAGTTTGAAGAATAAACAATATGAACGACCCCTTTCATAGGTTTTAAATCCCTTCATAATCCATATGTTTTCTGTAAGTAAATAAATAAACAAATAAATAAATGATAAAAGCAGTTTTACATTGAAACAATATGTATTGCTAAACTTGAAACTTGCGATGCGATATAGAGTTAAGTCAAGTATTAAACAAAACACTCAGGATTCTCCTTATTACAAATTAAGGGGTTTAACAGTGTCACATGATGTGCGATACTCCAGCGGAGATTTGTATGCTTTACAAAAGCGAGATACTTATAAATCGTACAGGCTTCGACAAACGTTTCTAAGCAATTTAATTGTATGCTAAATATTCCTTACCATTTTCCGCAACGACTTTATTTTTCAGCATTTTTAGCAATGGCCGTCAGTACAGAATCTCTTTACACTTTTTTATTTTGTAAACATGTCTTTGTCGTGGATGCCGTATTGGGCACACTGAAAAGTGAAAATGAGTGGAAATACTTCATATCATATAAATATTTGAAACTACTTTGGAGAAAAGAGCAAACACACACTGTTACATTTGTATCGTTCCTCTATAGGTGTGCGGGACTGATGGTACAACATATCCCTCGGAAAAGGCTCTTCTAATTAGTAGATGTGAAAAGAACCTCAAATGGCACGAACTGCAAGTCGATTACTTTGGACACTGCAAAGGTAGGTTTTCGTATCTATAAACTCCATTTAATGTTAATATTAAATCCAAATCAATGCAGCGTTTCTTATCAAACCGAACACGCAAAAACAAAATCAAAATCCAATATCATTCTCTGAAACAAAACAAGAGCATTATATATGGACATGTGTAAAATCTTATTAAAACTTGAAAGTTCATGTTGGACTGTATTTAAGGGCTTATGTTGGATTTCGTTGTAGAATTCTTGTTGGTCTGTATTCTAGAATTCATGTTGGACTGTATTATAAAAAAATGTTGGGACGTATATTTAGAATTTACATTGGACTGTACTATATGATTCATGTTGGACTTTATTAGAGAATTCACATTGGACTGTACTATATGTTTCATGTTGGACTTTATTAGAGAATTCACAGTGGACTGTACTATATGATTCATGTTGGACTTTATTATAGAATTCACATTGGACTGTACTATATGATTCATGTTGGACTTTTTTAGAGAATTCACAGTGGACTGTACTATATGATTCATGTTGGACTTTTTTAGAGAATTCACAGTGGACTGTACTATATGATTCATGTTGGACTTTATTAGAGAATTCACATTGGACTGTATTATATGATTCATGTTGGACTTTATTAGAGAATTCACAGTGGACTGTATTATAGAATTTTTGTCAGGTCATTTTCTGCCTTTTTTTACATGCTTACTATTAAGATGTCTTTTATAAGACAATGATGTCAAAGTAGACTTGAACTAAAATGACGTTGATTAATTAACTATGATGTTGTAATATATTGAGAGCAGATTAGAGTTGCACTATATAATCTTTTTTACCTCAGATTCCTGTAACAATACTGAGTGTCCTCCAAGGCAGTCGTGTATGATAGACACTCTTACACAAAAACCGGAATGTGTCTGTGACCCATGTGACAAAACTAATCCTGAAAATATTGAACGTAAGTAGTGTTATCTCATTTTCAACACTTACCGAGCAACAATAAACAGTGATTTTGTAGAGCAAGCTATTTTCTCCGGGATGCTATTTTCGATATTTACCGGTGCAATAACGTGGCCGAGAAAATCTAATGCGTTGAATAAAAGACGCACGTATTAGATCCAAATTGCAAACTTTTAATTCGTTCAAATATAATTCTATCGTCTCGAGTGAAAATTGCAAGTTTTACGATAGATTTATTTTAATGTTTTTTTCAATGGACTTCCTTTTTGTGAACGCTTAATTTCGTGGATAAATAGTACTCATTGATTCTAATTTCAATTTAATTGACTTGACATATTCAAACTTATCAGATACTGATGAAAATGAATTCCTCGGGGAAATGAATGGTTTTATAGTATTTTTAATTTAATGTCATTCTGACATGTACTGTCCATATATGGATGAATGTGCTTAATAGATTATTTGATACAATATATTTTGTTTCAAAATCTTAATTGAAAGTTGTCCTTTTAAGCCCGGTTACATTGAAAAATACATGTGTTGAATGGCTGTCTAATAATAGCGGCGAGATATTAAGAATTATCTTTTCTACATTTGCAGATAAAAAATACCTTTGAAATAACTATGAAACCCTGTATAAGTTTATAAATGTAAAGATACGAGTGTACGTTTCTTGTGTATTACCACAGGCCCCGTGTGTACGGATGAATTCCGAATGTACCCCAATATGTGCGAGTTCATAGAGTCAATGTGTAACGGTGATACTGACTCTGTACCGAGTTTTGATACTGGGCCGTGTGAGGAGAAGAGAGGTGAGCAATTAAATACCACATACATTTATACCATTTATACCAATTTCAACTGTTTCGAAAAGAAGAAAATAGTTTTGTTTTGCTAGGATTTACATGTTATTTCATCGATTGTATCCCTTGAATATTTGACTATTGTCTAAATGACAATTTCTAATTAGAGAGTGTCGGATCTAAAATATGCATACATATTTACAATAATATGTAAAAATGTATTATCCTATAATGTATTATTGCCATTATAATTGTTTCCGAAATTAAATTCTTGCAATGAAATGATTTGTAAACACATGTAATATGTACACGGTACATTATTTACGTTGTAAAACTAAAAACATACGAATCTGTAGCAGTGTTGTGATAGCAACGAAACATGATCATAAACTTTATAAACGTAGATTTCATACCGCTCTCGAACTGGAGTCCATGGAGTCCATGTTCCGTCACTTGCGGTGTTGGGGAGAAAACTCGCTCGAGAGAAAGACTTGATGGTCAATTCTACCAGTCCTTCAACTTCAGCCTAGAAGCGGTCGCTAAATGTTATAATGACCCGTGTATTGACTGTAAGTATTAAAAAACAGGCTAAACAGTGACATAGTGATTCTTATTACAGTTTGAATTTGGCAATCAGAGTTCTTGGTAAGTTACAACAATAGAGCTGTTTTCTTAAAATACGGCAATCTACCAATCACCCAACAAACAATCTGACTTATGATACATGTAGGTGCGAAACGTTCGAAAATGGGATAATGCATATGATATTTACGTTTATATCTACTTGTTTTCACCCATAGTTCGGGAGAAGTCACTTATAAGGTTGAAAACTAATTTGATATCTTATATGCCAATAAAATATGTATAAACTAATTTGAATGTGACAGATGCTCAATCCCATACTTTGCATCGTCACGAATGCTACATCATATTTTTTTCATTTTATTTGTGAAATATGAAATAATTTCACTGTTTTGAAGCAAAACGTCATTTAGTGATGTGTTGAGGGTCTCCTTGCATTCCGACGTTGATTTAGCAAGTAATGCATAGCTAGATTAATCAAGATTGTTAATATGTAGCCCATCACATCTGACAGCATCTAGTAAATGCATGTGTTTCGTTTTACAGCTCCATGCTCTAACTCTACATGTAACGACACCGAAATATGCCTCATAGATGCTCTTGGCGAACCCGTCTGTGAATGTCCCGAATGTATATACCATGGAAGCGAACCAGTATGCAGCATGATTGACGGACATAACCATAATTTCCGTAACCCATGTGAGGCACAAAAAGAGGCTTGTGAGATTGGAGAACCAGTTACCGTTCTATATGGTGCCAAATGTGGCAGTAAGTGTCATGCTCCCCCCTCCCCTCCTACTTAAAATCCTAAACAAGACGTATCGTTGTGATAAGTATATGGTGAGAACAAAGTGGCATTTAGAATGTCTACATATACATATGGATAGCAAGTGCTCTTATCAATTAAACATATTGCGAATTTAAACATCAACACCTGATTCCGGCACAGGAACTATTCAAATAAGACATTCCGCTAAGGAGGGTTGTCAAGTGTCGAAGAAGTTTACTTAAAAGTATTACCAAATGCATTCAATTTAATTTATTGATACCAATTTTAAGCATTATACATGTAAATTACCATCATTGTATTACAGCTGCTCCTGTGAATTGCACTTTGATGCCTGACTTCAAGGTTCTTAGAAGTCCTGGATGTAAAAACCTTAGGATAAACAAGAGTAAATGTACCGGCGGTTGTGGTCCTTTCTCCAACTACTGCTGCAACAAGGCCAGCACCCACACGAAGACGTTTGTACTTGATTGTGGAGAGAACGCGCCAGTAACACATACAGTAAGGAATACATCATTTTATTGTGATCACCCTATGTATTCATTCTAATGAATTCTTGAATAGTTTGTTTTACGTTAATCTTGTGGGGCTAAAATTTTGCTCGATTTTTCTAGAATAAATACAGGATTAAACGTGTTAAAAATACTTGCTGGGGTTCAGCCAAGAGAATGTAAACTCCCTCTGTTTCTGTTTTTTTAATATGTCAATCATACCAACATCAATTAAATACAATATATAAACACTATAATAGCTATGATATCTTTGGATGTTATGAATAAAAGTATCTAAAAATGTAACTGGTAAACAGTTTGAAAAACGCTTACATTTTGTCGTAAGCATAACTCGTCTGAGGAACACCTTCGCAACACTTCAGAATTCGAATAGGAATATAGAATACTGTTTCTTTCATTATATGAAATTCTTCATGTTGATTAAATTATACCAATTTGGTGAGGCAATTTGTGTACATTAGCATCAACGTTCAATGACAAAATGTCTACAGTGTTGCCAGATAACTTAAGACATCGACAACATGTTACAAAACAGCAATTAAGTTTTTCTTTGGAAGTGACAAGGGAGCAAAAAGGAAGAATCTGTAAATAGTAGAACGCGACTATCGGGCCAACAACAAACCTCTTCTGCATGACACTGACGGTGGTGATTTATGTTGATATCATCTGTTATGAAATTATGCTCACGTCAATGATGAAAAATCTAATTTGGGGTTGAAAGTTATTTATCTTTTGTAAAGGACGACTAAGGGTCTTAACCTTAATGAAAGTTCACAAATAGATTTTTTACTCCTATACTCGTTACAAATACTTTTTATATGTAAAAATGTTTGTTAAAGTATATATTTTCAATTAAGATGATGGATACGCGAATCCTGGATAGACATTTCATTTACAATACATATTGCCAATTCATTTGACAAAATAAATTTTACTTTTAATTTTAATATTACTTAAAGCTCGTGTAAAGAAACCAAGACATTGATTTATAGTTTCTAGATTATTTTATTGAGTAATTTGTAATTGACATACGCATTATTTTTTTCTCTCCGATAAAATGACACCATTAAATTGACAATATTTCATTTATCTATTGTCATACATATCATCACAGCATATAATTGACCTTCACTTTTTCTTTTACGTTTAAATATTTTAATCACATTTATATCTAATACCCCAAATAATCAATTACTCGTCGTGCCGAATTGCAGAACTATCGGTTTAATAATAATAAACAACATTTTTTCAGAAAGTATTCAAGGCATCGATTGTACTTTCAACTACATACACTGTTATTGAAGCTTATAATGTATTTCAGTTATTTACGTTGTTTGAAATTTAAAGATTTATTTCAATCTGCTGAAGAGAAAAGAATACACATTTAATGATTGAAAAAGAAGTCAACTAAGCTAGGAGATATGCGTATAGAACGCCAACGTATGAGATAGTATACGTATATTAGTAACAACAAAGATCAGCTATTTATTTATTTTTTATTACTTTATTGAATTTGAGTTCGAGTTTGGATTACGATTCTGTTGATATCGTTCTTTATTTCTGGAATGTTTCAACGTGAACATCATAAGAAGGAATGTATTCACTGCCAGATTCTAAGTTCTTAATAATATTTTTGTACGTGTATTTAAATATTGTTGTTGTCTTTTTTTCCAGGAGGAGATAACCGATTCCTGTGAATGTGATCGATTAAATAACGAAGAATAGTACACACCTACTTACTGAAGTTCAATTGTTACTGGTTATATAATATACATTTCAACTCTCCAACATTTGTTCAGCGTTAAGCGACATCCAGTACTATATTATTAAAGAAAACAACAAAATATATAATGTAGTATGTTATTATCATTGTTATATATAAGTGGTACAACGATATGTAAAACCAAGATAAGAATATAGGTTGATGTAGATTATCAATGTCTTATTGTTACGTTCTTCTGTTCTGATATTACTAATTTATCCTCTAGTTCAGCGTTCATTACCATGTACACCATTTCCCTTTTTCAACGCCTAACAATTCACATGTAACATTGAACGTCGAATTCCCCGTATCGCATTGTTCAACTCAGTCAGATTTACATGTAACATTGAACGTCGAATCCCCCGTATCGCATTGTTCAACTCAGTCAGATTTGCATGTAACATTGAACGTCGAATCCCCCGTATCGCATTGTTCAACTCAGTCAGATTTACACTTGTCCGTAGTTTACATCACCCATTCATTTATGTTCCTCACAAAATTTGGTCGAAGGGCCTTTACCTTAATGGAGGAAGAATTGGATAAAGTTGTAACCTGTGCTTCCTCTTGATAGTCTCCAAACTTCAAACCAAATTGGTCAACATCCCCTCAGCCGTTCTGGATAAGTCACCAATGAAAAGGGAAAAGTTCACTGTCGACAAGCTGCGTAATGACATGAAGTCGAAAACCTACAGACGATGAATCCAAATTATGACGAAGAAAACACAACACCATATTAAGATAGAGTTTACTGTATTAAAAGCCTTAGTAGAATTAAAGTCAAATAATCGATAGCATTTTCCACAACTATAAAATAACAGTTTAATACTTTAAGTTCAGATATTGTATCCTTGACATAAAAAAACAGCCAGGTTTTTACAAATATGAGCCTCTAGACGTACACCTAACCCTGTGATTGTAATATAATGGGTTGCACGCCTGTAATACGATATGTTTAACGCTGCGCTCCATAAAGGGATTATATCGACATATAATTCATTCTGTAACGATTATACATATCAAACAAATAAATGCATGCTCTAAGAACAAGGTGAAATTCGTTAAGTTCAATTAATCTTTGATCTAAAAAATATGTTTAACGTTGATTATCTACAATCGTCAACAGTGATGAACAAACCAACTTATCGTCTGCTACGACAATCCAGGACAATGTCCCAACAATACCTCCGATCGGTAACAAGCAAATGATTGGTGAGGAAACGTACAGTCAGTCGGTCGTAATAATTCTATTTCGGAAACCCAGTAATTCCAGCATGCAAGTCCTCACAATGAAAAACAAAATTCTGTAAAATTAAATCCACTATCCTGGAATAGAAGTTCCGTCTGTACAGTGCAACAACACTGTTACACAAACAACTACTCATTTAAATTCGATATTTTTTTATTTAAAAAAATTAATGAAAATAAAACTGAAACGAAGCCTATCTAAAAGTGTTGTCCAATGGAGTATTTTCGGACAATCGCTCTACGTTAATCACAGTTTCTGTCCAGGAAAACCAATTGGATACGCCGCAGCAGGCTAGTACTAAACAAGAGAGGAACCACAGACTCTCACATAGCTACGACCATATACCAGACAAAGCTTGCTGAATCGACAGAATGTTGTTGTCATTTTGTGTATATTTTTCTATTATCAGTTTACCATCTCGTCACACTATTTTCGACCTTAGCATGTATATAGCATTATAGTGACAGCCGCAAACGTTGGTCGATTCCTTACCATATCGGACACTACATACGTCAGTGTTTGTACGCTTCACACTGGACATCAAAACATCTCATGCAGATCTACGTATGTTTTATAATAACTATAAGAATTATATATTAGTTTAACTAACCCGAAGAAACTGAATCAAAATACAGTAAATGATATGTCTATTCTCCATGTTCATATAAGCTCAGTTAGAAATAAATTGAACCTGAATTTGATATTCTCGATATGCGTCACCTACTAGTACTGGTTACTAGTACAACACTGACCATATTGTTGACTAATGAATAAATTAGAACTCTAACCTTATTATAACTGGTGACCAGGACAAGGTTGAATAGTCGGCCTTATCTTGTATTGATTTGAATAATTTGAATAAAGTTGAAAGTACCGAAATGTTCAGTTATTATTAATTGATGTTTTAAAGATTAGTTAAAAGAAGTAATATAGGATCAAATATATGAAAACAAACCAACAGTACAGTGTGAAACAGAATCGGACAATGTTAATGATGGCGTTAATCATCTAATTATTGATAAAACAAAGGATTTGAATAATATCCATACTCCGTCCAGAACAAGTACAATCTGCCCTTATGATAAGCCATGGAAAGCCAGCATAATCAGGTCAAATCCAAAGATTACGTGAAATATCTAAAAATACTGGTAAGGATCCTGGTGGACATAAATTCAGAAATTCATGTAATGAAATTATCGATCCTGTCAGGAAAGCTGAACACGAATACAGGAGACTTTATTAGACATGGCAATTTCTCCAGGTATACGTGGTGGTGTATAGACCAGTGCGAATGTTTTCCAGTAATGTGTCCCATCCCCGACGAGTTGGTAACAATGTAATGATTCATACTCTGGACTTATCTAACTTTGTGAATTATTTCAATACCGTTAAATTCAATCATCCTTTTAGTCAGCTCGGCTTTAATCATTTCGTTATTACAGAAGATGACATTAGAGATCAAATTCAAATTGTTAAAGACGATAAACTAACTGAACCTGATTATCTATCTCACCTAGGATAGAAAAAATGAACTTTACCATTAAAGGTGATAAAGTCTTTTCTCTAACCTACACCGTTTTGAAATAACCTCATGTTAATGCTATTTATAAAGGACAGGAAGAAATGGATTATCCTGGTACCAATTGTTATCGCCTAGTTTTATTACACTAATTTTTAAACACATATTTTTGAAAGAAAAAAAAGATAAATGAAGGAAAAAGATATCAGATTTGTATTTTGTTACCCAAGTAAGGCATTTCTTTGCAAAATCTATCAAAAAGTATTATTATAAAAAATGGAAAAATACCAGGAATTAAATTATTATTAGATTTGGTTGTATTAGTATGATAGGGCAGTCTGGCAGAGGCTTTCATATAGCTGGTCGGCTCGTCTCCTAGTAGTCAGTTATGTAGTGTCTTCTGTGAATTACTTCCCTTTGGAGGGCCACTGGGTGGTCATATTTTTCAGAGAATAGTGAGAGTCGTTGGAGCCAGATGACGTACTTGAGACGTGTGTGGTTATCGTTGTAAAAATGTCCATGTATAATATAGAAGTCGTGTCTCTCATTATTGTACATTATGAATGTGTTGCACTTTAGAAAAGTTTTGTCTGTCATTGACCTGTAGTCAGTATCTTAGGCGAGACGGAACAACAATGCTGACAAACAAGGAAATCAAAATAACATATTTATTTTCCAGGATGGCTATCGATCATCACTATCACCAATATATTCTTCGTCGCCATTTTCACAAGCATTGTTATTCATCACCATTTTCACAATCATCAATTTATTCTTCGTCACTATTATCAATATCACCATTCCTTATCGCCTGTATCACAATCATCTTTCACCATTGGCATTTTTTAAACAGACACTAACAGCTAAACGCCAGAGTTAAAAATGTCTTCTATTTGTCAAAAAGTGCGGGTCTCATACTTTGGTAGTGAAAGTACGATGAACAGGAACCTTTGTTAGGTAGTCAAAATGAATATCAAAAATTCAAAAAAGTAATATAACCATAGGCCCACCTCAGCCTCTTGATAATCCTCTCTCTTGTCAGTCAGTGTATGGTACAACGTGGCGAACAGCATCTAATTCACTGATACGTTAAGGTACTGTTAGAACCGGAGATCGTCTTTAAAATCTAAACTTATTCAATATCCTGAGACCTGTACAGACAGTTTCACCTCATAAGTGGGGGATAAAGATCACCCCATCCAGTTTCCAGAACAGTGATGTTCCTGGTGAAGCAACGTCAAGCGAAAAAAAGTGGAGACGGAAAACCTGTTACCAACCAGTCATCCATGCGATGGAATTATGAATATTTATATGAATATGTTGGTAGAGCTATTAGATTCAGCTCGTTCATGTTGGACTGAAGCTATTGTTGCATACTGATCCGCCAGAGTTACTGCCCTTCGTTTCAGTCTATTAGTAAAATGATAAGCTTGATCTGCTGACAAAATGAAGATCAACCAGGTCACATTTTGAGAAATTGTTTGGATGCTAATTAATATTTATTAAGACATGTACATCCTTAAACGAGTTGAGAAAATGCACATCTTAATCACAAAATAATCCCGTGGTGTGACAGGAACGAACCTCGAGAGTTCTGGTTCTATTTTATTGTTTTATTGCTGTCGATCAATACATATTGTACGGGTATTTTAGGATATCTGTTTAACAAATAGTTATTTTAAATCTAAGTTCGTACAAAAGACACAAACGTGAATAGCACCTTTCACTTCAATTTAAGAGTTTATAAAACTCTGCTACCAGCATAGAAATAATCAATAAAGTTATGTCAGATGATATCTTTCAACATCTCCTTGAACTCTTCAGTTGTGTGAGAGAATTTGTCATCTATACCCTTTAGGTATCCGTTTTTACCTACCTACCATCATTACCGTAATTAACAAAGTTAACATCACAAATATGGACTGATTGGTATTCACTCCTCCCGCAGTAGTTTAAAATATATTATTGTTTAATTTTCTTATCTACTTACAATTTCACAAATATTTCAGGTAGTTGAACAGAAGATATCTTGGAAAAAGCTCATAGACATTTGCGCGCATGCGTGGCTGTCTTTCAAAATCCGGAAGTTTAGTCCATCGTTGGTTTCCCAGGACACTATATTTAATTTATCACCGACATTTGATTCCCTTAGGAGGGATATCTCGAGTTCCTTTATCCCATGTTCCAACGTTTTCTCTGTGATGTTTTTAAATTTCTTATGAAGTACACCAAAACTAACTGTATCTGAACAGTACCGGACGTAATTTGACCAATTAGTGTGAAAGTAAGAGTCACATTCACGTGGGTACACAATGACGTCATGCTGATAACACTGATCGATTTTCGCTTCGAGTAAATCTTTCATTTTCAACGCAGTTCCGCTTAAACAAGTGTTGTGAAGGTATTTACGGCGCCACCAATCAGGAAATGGAGTTGGCTTTCGCGTCGTGGAGTTAACCAAAACTGATTGTACTTTACACACGGCGTACGGTTCCGTATCCATGTGCGCAAGAGAACTAGTTAACAGGAAGGACGAACGCCCTACGAAGTCCAGGTGAATAGTGACAGACAAAGGAAACTTCGGTGTAAATTCGTCATATAACTGTCGTTCAATGGAAAGATTTGCCGTTGCTATGAAAAAGAAGTTATCCATCAGCAGCTGATTAAAATCGGCAAAGGAACCCTCTGGTCGCTCGGCAGCAGGCATTGGCCAAAAACTGAAGGCACGCGTCGACTCGAACAGATGAAGAAGGCTCCATGGGGTGACCTTTGAACCTGTTGTAAAAATCATCAGCCATGCAGTCATTATAAAGAGAATGTTTATGCAATTTACAAATTATCCAAAGAAGACGCAGACAAGACACCAGGACAATAGGATTAATAAGACGCAGTCAAGACACCAGGACAATAGGATTAATAAGACGCAGACAAGACACCAGGACAATAGGATTAATAAGACGCAGACAAGACACCAGGACAATAGGATTAATAAGACGCAGACAAGACACCAGGACAATAGGATTAATAAGACGCAGTCAAGACACCAGGACAATAGGATTAATAAGACGCAGACAAGACACCAGGACAATAGGATTAATAAGACGCAGTCAAGACACCAGGACAATAGGATTAATAAGACGCAGACAAGTCGTTTTAAATGAAAGCTCTGAAGCGCTCATGTTTTATACATTATACAATATACCACGTCTTTTTTTAAATCTTCAATTATAGATATGCAAGATGATAAAAGTAGCATGTCATATCGGCATCATTCGGCACCTCCCCGTGTAAGAGACGGAAAGATACGAAGGTTTCGGAGTCTCAAACTGGAAATAATGTGACCAGAAATTCATATTTCAAACGCAAATGAAGTCCGCAATAGTTCATCTATAAACCAGTAGTTTTTCTTTTTTGAAATATAAGCCCATCGATGCCAAAAAAATTACCTCTCGCCTCAAAAGCCTCGTAGGGCAGACCTCCGGGGATGGTGACTCGGATGGAGGTGGGTGACAAAAACTCGCGCTGGTAGCTCAGCTGACGCGCAATCCTGTTAAAAGACACATATAAAGTTTAAACGACATACATTCCGTCACCATTGTTATGTGCCTGATTTCAGACTTAAGATTAATTGATTAGATAAATCAAAATGTTTCATCTTATAAATATAGCTGAATGAAAGAAATTAAAAGATTTTAATTATGAAAGATTATGATAAGATGTTGGTGTATCTGTGGTTTAAAGCTAATGATATTAACATGATATTAATGGTAACAAACTACGTACATACAGAACTTATAAGTTTGAGCCAGCCGCCAATTATATCATGTGTGTTCACACTAAATATAAGCAAAAAAATCCATTCTGGATGTGTTTTTTTGCCTCTTGATGTAGAACAAGGCTGGCATGCCCGACCAGTGATTCCTGTTAACAACAGATTATGTAAATTACGTAATGCTGATGTAGAAAATGAGTGTTTTAATGGATTGTGTATATTATGAAGATCTCCGATCTGTAAATTTATCTAAATCAAGTAAACTGTGTGAATATTTTGATTACATGGACAAGTTTGAACAATTCAGATATATATCAGCGGAGCAACATATACAGAAAACTTTAGCAAAGCAACTAAGACTTATGTGGAGGAGAAAAAATATGTTCATTAAATAGTAGTTCTTGAGTGGTGTACGTTCAGTCTTGGATTATTACAATTATTGTTGGTACTTATTGAAGGTATAGGCGTTATGTATGTCATATTTTACTATGTAACAAAGTGTTTAGTAAGCCATTTTGACCGGACATTTTTTATGATGCATTCTGACCCACATTTGCTTTGTCATCAAAGTTTTACGATAATGCAAATGGATACGTGTTTAACATCTAAATAAGGCATTTTTGACTTGTGTGTTTGTGTGTGTGTGTGTGGGTGTGTGTGTGTGTGTGTGTGTGTGTGAGGGTAGGTGTGCGTGTGTTTTTTCTATATAAAAATGTTAACTAATCACTCCAAGTCGTATGAAGATATTGCCATTTGATGTTCATGCGAAAGAAATAAAAGAAAACAATAACAATAATTTTTAAAGATCAAGAATACAAAGACTTGCCGCTCCGTTGATCTCTATTCCGCATCTAAATATTCTCACCGGAAATACTTCCCAGACGTGACCTCACTACAGTTAGTATCACCCGGCACTCATGCATTGTGAGGTAATTTTATATATCCACAATATAAATACCTGGGAAACCCGCGCCTTAATGCTGATGCTGTACGGGAACCCATCATCGATCTCCCTCCAATTAAGCTTTCTAGTCCTGTAGTCCGCCCAGTTTGGAGCTAGCTGGTATCTTCATACTGATTACTTTAGATAACAGGAAGACTGGTGCATGGGAGATAACTCGTACGACTGTAACAAAGGTGTGTTCGATACCGCTATAAATAGTACTTCACTATCATTGAACGGAATCACTTGAACTTATTATTCACGAATAAATTTTTTTTACAAAAGTATGAAGCAAATCGGTTAAAAAAGTGTCCCCATTTTAAGGATGCTTCTTTGGCTCCAAACATTTATTTTTTCATGTACATATATCAATTGGTAAGTCCATGTACATCATTATTTGAAGATTGAAATTCGCTAATCACAGACCAACTCGCCCGTCGTTTTTTACGATGAATAAGATAATTTCTGTTTCGTGTTTCGTCTTCTTTCAGTTTTTCGTCAAAGGAAACGAACGCGTGAGCTGTGTTTTATTACATTCTCAGTATTTAGGTCATCTGAGACAACATTCTTTTGTCCAGGTTCATGCGTCCGTAAACTTTTTAAACATTTTGGATTTTTTCTCGAAAACCCTTGAATCAATTTCAGTAAAATTTTGCAGAAACCTTCCCTGGCCAAAGATGAAAAGAAAATGAAAATGACTTATGCCTTTTTCCATCCCCACTGGGGACTAAGGGACGGAGCCTAAAGCGGTCACTGAATTGACTCAAATTTTAAAAATATTCTTAAAACTCAAATACGGTATAATTAAATTCTCTTCATGAACGGATACTTTACCGAAATTGTAAATTTCATGGCGTCAAGGTCTCACATTTCTCCCTGTGTAGGCGGTAAATTTTATGTCAGTTTATAGAAGAGCAATATGTCTAAGCCTAATTTATTCAATCTCAATTGGAAATATTTCAAACTGGGTAAATATGAGCGAAGGATGACAGCTTGATGGTCTGTACTCATTGATCCTGGCCGACCCCCAAGGGCTGATGGACGGGGCCAAAAGGGGTCAAATTGACTTGAATTTCAAAAAGCCTCTGAACACCCAGATAAAGTAGAATAAACTGCTATTCATGGATGGGAGGTGCTTTACCAAAATTGTGAATTCCATGTCCCTCCACGACGCTCCCTTTGCATGCTTTTGTTGGCGTGAGTTTTCAGTATCTTTCTCACTGATGTAGCTACCAGCTGCTACATGTACATGCATGATACAAATTTTTTGGATGCAAAGCCACAGTCCACAAAGCCTGTAAGGCAACGGGAGGCATTTTTCATTTGTCCCTACTGCAGTGACACTGGATTACGTTCTAAGATGCAATTTGCACTTTAGAAGATTGCGTTTGGGAATACATGTCGTCTGTGTCAGTGATCAAGTATCCACAGCTCTACACGAAACGCCGTGAGCAGTAGATTCTTAATACCGTATAGAAGTCATCTTTGGCCAACCCTTAACACGACTCCCCATCCATACCCCCGGCTGTTACTCCCGTTGTAAAGCTTCGAATCTCATATGGAAACTTTAATAACAAGAGACTTCACGTTTAGATATTGATGTGCATTTACTGGCGATCTATCACTGTCGCCATTGTTACATGCAATTGTACAGAATACACATGACATTGGATACATTGAACACCACTGGGCATTGCGTTACTCGTAAAACTAGATGTCACCAATTTATCAGTAGGTGACGGTTGACCGCGTGGGATGCCATTGATGAGACTCATCAATCAAGTTTTTTTCCTTAAGTTATACAAGTTATCGGTAACATATAATAACACACATGATAATATATACAATACATAGTACAAACACGGGAACAACATCATACACACTATTTAGACACAAACAGTCAGTTATATATTCATTGTTACAATAATTTACTTTAATACTGATGATGAGACGTACCGACAACCCAACTACATCTATCATTATATCATGATGATGATGATCATCATCCAACTTCATCCTCCTCCTCCTCCTCCTCCTCCTCATCATCATCATCATCATCCTCATCATCACCATCATCATCATCATCCTCCTCCTCCTCCTCCTCCTCATCATCATCATTATCACCATAATATCATCATATACATCATCATAGTATCATCATCATCATCATCATCATCATCATCATCAACAACAACAACAACAAAAATCATAAGAAAACAGAAATGTCAATGTATTGTAATTAATAATCAGATACTTCTACGTTTGTTGACTTCAATAATGTATTTGCCCAGTAAATTTAAATCTTCCAAATTATGTGTGTTCAATAATTCTATAACTTTGAAAACAGATGGCTGATACCAGTAGTATTGTTTAATGTATTTTCTCCTAAGATCGGAATATATGGGACAGGTAAAAAGAAAATGGAATTCATCTTCTACTTCTAATAGGTCAAAATTATTACAAAGTCTATTATACCTATCAGTATTTCTATTTCTACCAGTTTCTGTAGCTAGGTTATGAGTTGATAAATGAAGTTTAGAGATAACAATTCTGCGCTCTTTTGGTAAATATCTGGTTAAATAAAACTGAAATGACAAATCATCTACCATGAACAGGTAGAGATCACATTTACTAGACATATTAAGAGAATTAAATAGATTTTGTTTAGCCTGATCGTCTATGCGTTGCTTAATTGATGATAATAGGATGATATCGGAAGGAGTTTGCCTGATCCAGATGTAGCCTAAACCAAGTTCGAATAATTTCTGCTTTACAAACAACAACCATGTTTGCTTTGGGTTATCTGTTCCGTTTCTTTCAGCATAAACTGATATACTTCATTCGATATACAATTATCACAATTCAACAGCTTAAACCAATATTTAAATATTCTGATAAATGTTGGTTAACAAGAGGTAATCGACCCAGCTCAAAATAAACCATTGCATTACATGTTGATTTTTTAACGCATAAAATACTTTAACAAAATTCCAAATGAATTTGTTCGACTTCGATAGCCTTGCAAACAGCCCATGTTTCACAAGCATAATGTAGTACACTACCAACGTACGTGTCGAATAGATGGTACATAGTTTTAATGTTCAGGTTAAAATTATTGTACTTAGAGCTCAGTGCAAAAAGTGCTTTACGACCTTGGTCAGCTAAATGTTTTAACATACTACCATGTTTGTTATTAAATCTTAGCAAAAATCCTAAGTAACAAAACTGATTAACTACCGAAATGAGGTTACCATCATTCTTACAGTATTCTGATTCCTTAATACGCCCACCATTTCTGAAAACAACAATTTGTGTTTAATCTGTATTAACTGATAATTTCCATTTTTTTGAGTAAGTGCATAAATTGTCCAAAAGACTTTGCAAACCTTCGACTGTTTCCGAGAATAAAACCAAGTCATCTGCATATAATAATAAGAATAATCTCAATTCCCCAAAATCATAACATGTTGCACTATTTTCAATAAAGTCGTTTTCAAAATCATTAATGAACAATGAAAAAAGTAAAGGGTATAAAATTTCCCCTTGCATCAATCCGGCATTATTAGTGAAAAAACTGAACGTTTCCCATTAACTAAAACACATGACTTAACTAATGAATAAAGGGATTTAATGGTCGTCAAAAATTTACCTCTGTCACCAAGCTTGGTTAGCTTAAACCATAAGTTTACTTTATCAGTAAAATCAAATGCTTTGCGAAAATCGACAAAGCAGCAATGAAGTCTCTTTTTTCAGACAACGTTTTTGAAATGATGGATTGCAATGCGAATGTAGCAACAACTGTACATAAACCAGGTTGGAAACCAAACTGTGCATCTGTAAGAATATCATGCTCAGTACAAACATGTAAGAGTCGTTTATAAAAGTAAACAATTTGCACAAACAGCTGACAAGACAACATGACTCTAAAATATTATTAAACAATATTTGTAAAGATGGAGTCAATAAATTTTTACCCCCAGTAAAACATTCATTTAGCAAACCGTCTGTTCCATGCGATTTTCCACGCTTAAGATTAGATATAGCAAAAGTTATTTCTTCAAATGAGATTGGAGTATCCAGCTGATCAAAAATGATATCATTACAATTACCAATATCACTAATAGAATTATTACTTATTTCACTCCCAGAATTTGTTAATTTTTAAAATGTTCAAAAAGCTGACTCATTGGCACTTGAGGGGGCTTTGATTTCTTCCTCTCAAAATGTTTATAAAAATATTTAGGGTTGTGCTTTCTTAAATATTCCATCATGTCACCCTCTTCACTCAAATATTGACGTTTAAATTTCATTGCCATAATTTTATACTGTTTTTTCTTTGATGTCAATGTAACATGTGTTGTGGGGTTTTTATTACTACTTAAAGCATGTAAAGCAGTTAAAAATTGCTTGTATAAATTTCCTAATGCATTGTTAAACCAAGGTTTGTCCTCTTTAGACTGAATATTAGGATATACAACTTCATTAACCCGAGTTTCCTTGTGGGTATTATCCTACCTCTTTAACTTAAAAAATGATTCCATTAAACTTTGTAATTTCTTAGTAAAGCTGTTAACACTATCATCAACAGATTCCTGATTCAATAAACCCCTGATTTGGACATACTGGTGTAATCTATCTATATTTACAATAAAAGATTCCATAAATTGATGTCTATATTGCTCATTCCAAACATATTTGGGACATTCAAAACCAAGAAAATCACCAAAGACCGGATCAGATGCAGCCTTGAATTTAGCAAATAACTGTACATGTAACGGGGAATGATCAGAGAATTCTGTGAAATTACCTACAATATACTTTTTCACTAGTGGAATCAAGGAAAAAGGCAAAATCAAATAATCTATCACACTCATACCGTTGGATCCACAGAAAGTAAAATTGACATAACTTGTTGCGAAGTCCAATTGTTGACCCGAACACATTTAAACCAAATAAAAGTTTATATAAATCATTGTTTTTGCGAGTTCGACAATGAAAATCTCTTACCAAAATAACATTTTTATGTTCTGAGTATTCAAATAATATATTTTCTAATTCTTGGAAAATATCACAATTATAATGTAAATAGAATTGTGGAGAAGTGGGAGGAACATACGTAAATACAATAGTAATATCTTTATCATGGTCAACTAATCTACTGTCG